TCAATTTAAGCTTCATAGACATATAGTAATTCAAAATAGAAAATCACTCAATAATTAATAATATTTATTTCAATTTATATTAAATATGCTTCAAAGTTCCTAAAACCTAATCATTAACTAATTATTTTATACAAATGTATTCTTTTAATTTATAACAAATACTGGTTTGTGCACTAACTTAACATAAAATGCATAAAACCTCACAGCCTATTATATTTATGTATTACATATTACTCTAAATAGATATCTACACATATATACTTGCATATAAATTTTTTTAAAGTTGCTTCAATTGATTGCAGATAGATCCATTTCTATCGCCATACACAAATCTTAAGATCAAATCGATTAAAGACCTCAACATAAATCCAGCCACACTGAACATCTTAGAAGAGAAAGTGGGAGGTTCCTTTGAACGAATTGGCACAAACCATTTCCTGAACATAACACCAATAGCACAGACACTGAGATTAACAATCAATAAATGGGATATCCTGAAACTGAGAAGCTTCTGTAAGGAAAAGGACACAGTCAACAAGACAAACCAGCAGCCTACAGAATGGGAAAAGACCTTCACCAACCCCACATCTGACAGAGGACTCATTTCCAAAATATATAAAGAAATCAAGAAGCTAGTTACCAAAACACCAAATATTCCAATTAAAAAGCGGGGTAAAGAACTAAATTCTCAATAGGGAAATCTAAAATGACTGAAAGACACTTAAGAAAGTGCTCAATATCCTTAGCCATCGAGAAATGCAAATCAAACAACTCTGAGATACCACCTTGCACTTGTCAACCGGCTGAAATCAAAAACACTAACTATAGTTTATGCTGGAGAGGATGTAGAGAAAGGGAAACTCCTCCACTGCTGGTGGGAATGTAAACTCATACAGCCACTTTGGAAATCAGTATGGCTGTTCCTCAAGAAAATGGGAATCAGTCTACCTCAAGATCCAGCAATTCTACTCTTAGGCATATACCCAAAGGATACATATTCATACAACAAGGACATCTGTCCAATTATGTTTATAATAGCATTATTTGTAATAACCAGAACCTGGAAGCAACCTAGATGGCCCTCAGCTGAAGAATGGATAAAGAAAATGTAGTACATTTACACAATGGAGTACTACTCAGCAGAAAAAAAACAATGGAATCTTGAAATCTGCAGCCCAGTGGATAGAACTATAAGAAACCATCCTGAGTGAAGTAACCCAGTCATAAAAACACAAACATGGTATGTACTCACTCATATATGTACATTACACATAGAGCAAAGGACCAGCCCACAATCCACACCACCAGATAACTAGAAAACAAGGATTACCCTAAGAGAGACATACATGGTCCCCCCAAGAAGAGGAAAGGGATAAGATCCTGAGCAAATTGGGGGCATGGGGGTAAGGGAGAGCTAGGCGAAAGAGAAGGGTAGAAGAGGAGGGGAGAAGAGAATATAAGGGAGCAGGAAGAATAGAGGAGAGCAAGAAAAGAGATACCATAATAGAGAAAGCCATTATAGCTTTAAAGACAAATCTGGCACTAGGGAAATGTCCAGAGACCTATAAGGATGAACCCAACTAACAATCTAAGCAGTAGTGGAGAGGTACCTTAAATGCCCTTCCCCTATAATGAGATTGATGACTACCTTATATGCCATCCTAGATCCTTCATCCAGTAGCTGATGGAAGCAGAAGCAGACACCCACAGCTAAACACTGAGCTGAATTCCTGGAATCCAGTTGTAGAGAAGGAGGAGTGATGAGCAAAGGGATCAAGACCAGGCTGAGGAAATCCATAGAAACAGCTGACCTGAACAAGGGGAAGCTCATGGACCCCAGACTGATAGCTGGGAAACCAGCATAGGACCAAACCAGGCGCCCTGAATGTGGGAGTCAGTTAAGAGGCCTGGACAGTCTATGGGGCTTCTGGTAGTGGATCAGTATTTATCCCTAGTGTACAAACGGGAGCCCATTCCATATAGAGGGATACTCTCTCTGCCTAGACACATAGGGGAAGGCCTAGGCCCTGCTCCAAATAATATGACAGACTTTGAAGATCCCCCATGGAAGGCCTCACTTTCCCTGGGGAGCAGAGGAGGGATGGGAGGGGGGAAGTCAATGGGAGGCATGGGAGGATGGGTGGGAAAAGGAACTGGGATTGATATGTAAAATAAGATTGTTTCTAATTTAAATTAAAAAAGAAAAAAGTTGCTTCAGTTTAGTGCTTAATGAGTATAAATAAAAGCCGTATATAATATATCCTACAGAGTTTCACAGAAAAGCAGTTTTGGAAAGATCCTAAAGTGTGCTGCAGTATAGCTCAGTAGCGGAGAGCTTGCCTTCCATACCCAACTAAAGCCCTAGGTTCCATCTCTAGCACCAAAGGGGAGGGGGAGAAGCTTAAAGATGAAATATAGTTCAATTTAAAGTTATAAAAGAATGCTAAGCATAAATCATTCATTTAGTTTCAACATTAGTAAATTAATTCAGATACCACTTCTACTTAGAACTCAAAATAATCTGTATTTGGTCAGTTGTATAAACTGTCTTGATATCTTAAGATATATAAAATTAATCACTCATTTGTTTGCACTGAAGTTTTTCAGTTGTATTTTCATAAAGTTTGTAATAAATATCACTTGTATTTGATCACAGCACAATTATTTTTCAAAGAAAATATCCTCATATTTCTGCCAAACTCAATGGCATTTTCCTCCCTGCATTCCTAGCACTCTCCTGAAGAAGAAATACTAGATTCCCTGACTTTTAAGAAGAGAGTGCCATCTATGTGGAGCCCAGTTCATGCTGCTAATGATTACTAGAGAAAAGAGTTGACTAAGTTTGAACGTCAAAATCTGAGGTTTCAAATACCTCATTACTTTCACTAAAATCCCACATAACAGGAACACAAAAATAATCCAAATAAAGATAAATCCACAGCTGTCTGAGGCTAGCACAACCATGCAGTAGACAGCTACAGGGACAACTGGTTTGAGTGTGCAGAAGACACAGAAACTGAATTGGTAGGTCAGAAAGAGTCCCACAAACTCCTGCCCACCAGGGACATCCCTGGCACCAGAGCCTCTGTGGTGTGACTGGGGTGCCTTGTGCTTAGCACAAGGAAAAGTTGATTTCAAGCCACAAGTCAAATGGAGCTGTGTGTTGTGCATCAAGTCTAAACTTGAAATGATAAAGCATGTAAAATCTATAACAAATGCTGAGAACTAGCACCAGCGGTAACCTCCTTACCCTGATCAGCTTCCAGAATACCAGCATTTAAGTATGTAGATCTTGTCAGTGGAAGCAAAGTTGCCTGTTAAAAAAAACTAAGATCTCGGGAGATGAGGTAAAGACACAAAGGAGCACCAACATATGTACAGTCCAGAAAGACTTGTACTGCAGGGAGCTGAACAGCACAAAAGCAAAAGAACCAATATACCAATACAACAAGATATAGAAATAAACCATAACAACAACCTCTGAAACATCAGCAGTGTCAATCAAACACTAGTTCTAATGTTTTATGAATGAGTCATACAGAATCTTTTTTTTACTTCCTGTATCAATATATTGCTAAGATCCAGCTACATGGTTATGTTTACTGACACCCCTTTCATTACTCTGCAGTATTATACTTTTTAAAAAAAACGTTTAGCCATTCATCATGGACAGATGACAAGGCTCTATCAGATTTTAGTTATTGCAGTATTGACATGGACATTCTTACAGTGTGTATGCATAGATTTCTGCTTTATACATACCAAACGGGAGAATCATTTATAGAGCAGATGGATCAATCACAGTACTTGAATTGTGAACACTATTTAAAGGACAAAAAGCACCACAGAAAACAAGACAGACCACAGACAGAACACAGGCACCAAGAAAGATGTTGCCAGGAAAAATCCTAAAACTCCCTGTCCTTGTTTACTGCTGGCTTTTAAAATAAGCCAACCGATGACACAGCAAAATTCACATTATTAAGCTCAAAGTTGCCTCAAGTATTTAACAACTTCTCTCAGACTACAGTAACATCTAGAATTGTGACACTGGTTTTAAGACCCAGTTTTGCCTGTATTTAAAGAAAACACCTCAGTACCTCAAAAACCCCATCTCAAATCTCCAACAACTCTTAGCTGGGCTCTCCCATTCCTTGTTCCTTTGCCTCCTTTCTCCCTGACCATACGTCACACCTACTGGTACCTGTGGTAGGCACTGACTTAGTTCTACTGGCAACACTCAGAACAAAATCAATTGTCTGCTATTCTCTTCTAAATAATTAACATTTCCAGTGGTGGGGGAAGGAAAAAAAAAAAAAAAAAAAACCTTCAGGAACAAAGTGACAGGCATGAACACTGACAGACTTCCCCTGAATCCTACCCTCTATCCATGTGCTTTCTCTTAAACTGGGTTCCAAGCATTATGATATGAGTTTCCAGAAAGGGAAACTGGAAAGCAAGCAAAAATAACATTTAACACAGCTCATCTTTGAAGATGATTCTTAGCAATGTGGCCACCATGCGAAAATTGTGAAAGCGCAAACTCTCATGATGAAATACAAAGTCACTACTCGGACAACTGACAGCTGCTTCCGCTATACCATGTGAGAAAACTAAGGATGCACACAGAAGGAGAAAGGGGTTGTATTACTAAAAACTAAGTTTGCTTTTGTAAAATTTTAGTGTAGTTATTCCCTATTTTAAAATGAAACACTAAATCTCTTTTCATCAGAAACTACAGAATGGCAAGAATGACATCCAAAAGTAAAAAGTAAATCCACACACCTTTGAAACCATGATGTCTGTTAATACACCTAAAGTTAAAGTAACAAAATTATTTTAGAAGTCTGTGCTGCACAAGTTCCCACATATAAGTTAAAAGCCACCAGGGGAAATGAAATATTTAAAAGGACTTTAGAAACACATGCAGGGGAAACTCAGTAGCCAAGAGCTACTCAGAAGCCAAGGAAAGACCTCTGCAATTGTTAACAAGAGCATACCATGCATTCGCTGGCTTAGGGGACTTCGAAGGAGCTGTTAGAACTGGTTCCATGCTGTTTGTTCCTGAATTGTTTTCTTTGGTTGTCAATGCAATCATTTTCCGTTGCTTCTGAGAAAGTTTGACTCCATGAGAAATAATTTTTCTAAAAATTAGAGTAAACCAATTACTTTTTTTTATTGGCTTCACTGCTTCTAAGAAATCTCAGTTTCCTAAGAAATCATTATACTTGAAACAAAATTAAATCCCTCAGCATAATCTCTGCTTAATCAAGGACATTGTAATATATTTTCTATTAAGTTTCAATAGTTAAAATTTCAGTTTATACTGCTGATGGTCAAACAGCGGTTATCATGAGCTCCCAGAATAACATATTATTCAAAAGGCCTCAATCACGCTTCTGCATTTCTTCAGAAATGCAATTATCCCAAGGATCACTTGGTGACAACTGTACATGAGGCCCCTACCATGTAACACTGCACTCTAATGCAATCATTATTAGCACACAGCTAGCAAACAGTACTGAGACTAAGTTACCTAATTGAGCATTTATAACTATTATATCAATTGTACAACTATAATACGAAAGATCCAGTATGTTTTTCCAATTCTATAGGACAGAAATATAATACGACATGGTTTTTTCTCTTCATTTCTTTTTTTTAACCAACCCAATGTTTGTCTTTGGTGCTGCGCCATATTTTTGTCTACTTTCTTCTGTTTCCATGATGGCTCTAAAATCCACGACAGGAGGACTTGCAGGACTAAAAGAAAAACAAACAAACAAACAAATAGCATTCATTATCTATAATGCCCAACACCAAACTTAACTGATCCTGTAAATTATACTTAAGACTGGTGATAAGTTACAGTTTAAGTAATAATTAAATTCATTTTGTTAGCTTCAGTCAGAAAAAGGTATTTTGAATGACAGCTACTCCCATAAATGTATATATAACAAAGTGTTGCTTTGTTTGGGCATTAAAAAAAAAAAAAACAAACTTTCTAGCCTTTTGCTTGTAGTATCATGATTTCTGGTTTTGTGTTCTTATGGGTTCTGGTTCTTCTGTATGTTTATCTGTTATGTGTATTTCCTGCAGTTTTTCTTTTTGTTTTGATTCTGCTGACTTTTTGTTTGTTACCTGTTAGTTTTCTAAAGATGGGTGGGAATGTAGGTGAGGATGTGAGAGGAGCTAAGGGAGGGGAAAGCATGACCAGAATATATTATATGGAAAAAAAAATATTCATGTAAACTAAATAAGAAAAAAGAAACTCCTACCTCAAAGAGCCAGCAACCCAACTGGAAGAGCCTGCAGTGTCGACTCTGTTCCTGGGAATAAACTGGGGAGCAGATTTAGATGTTGGTGACTTTTCCCACGGTTTGAAATCTTCCCTAGCACATGGAGGAGGTGTACCATTCACATACGGTTTGGCTTTCCCCTGGGAGAAAAAAAAGAGAATCTAAGTAGTAACAGCAAACATTTAACTTAGTAGCTTAGTGTGGACAGTTGGCAACACCTGTTCAGCTTGCACTTGTCATTTCTGTCTACAGGACCATCACTTACTACAAGCTGTTGTGCACACAAGAAAGTAAGTAGACACCCTTAAACTTCTATTCAGACAAGTAGCAAACAAAATGAAAATAAAAGCAGTACATATAAGATAAGAAACAATAATGTTAAAATTCCTACTTTAGAAATAAAATTCACTTTAGACAGGAAAATTAGGTACAAACATCTTATACTCTATGATGCAGTATTTTCAATAAAATGAAAGTACAATAATATTGATGCTTCAGAGGGGCCTTAAAGTCACTGCTATTACAAAAGGCTCAGGAAGGTCTTAAATGGCATGTGCACAAGACATTTGACATCTTCAGCTTCCTTACACCTCACTGTCCTCCAGATTAATCTTATGAAAACAACAATTTCCTTCAAACTTCTGCATTAAACTTGAATACTTTATTAGAACAATAAGTCTATAAGTCTCAGAAATTCCTAGGTGCTCCAATATGTTTTGTGAATGTGGCAAAGGTGGCAGGAAAATGATTCCATTTCTAAAAATGTAACTCTTTTCCTTCCTGTAATGAAACACTGGGGAGCAGGTAAAGGATGCCTGAAGAAAGTCTCATCAGAGCTAAGGAGAAGCTCTGCAGCTACAAAGTCATTCAGCCTGCCATCCCCGCAGAACAGCTTCGGGATAGCTGTGTCTGTTAATATCATGAAAGAATGTGACCACAAAATTTGAAACCAGGCTTACTTTCAAAGTTATTTTTCTCAATTTATTTCATTTTAATAGCCACTTCCTAAAATATTTCTGGAATTTAACTACAAATATACTTTTCCATATGTCTATTCAATAATGCTACATTATAGCAATATATTTAGCATCATATATTTTACTTGCAAAAATTTAGAAATGAAATCATAAAGGATTCAAAACTATTAAAATTCTACAAATAAAATAATTGTATAACTCAGGAAAAATTGAACATTATACATATTGGTTTTAGTTTTTTGTTAACACCAGGAAAGTATTTGAAAGTTTGAGAGAATATCATGAAAACATGTGGAGAGGAAACAATGCTTTATCAGACAGACCAACCTTATCCGAATGGAACCCTGCTGTAAAATCAGGCGACTGTACGTCTCTGGGACTACCCACTCCTGCATAGCTTCCTTCAGAGTCTGAGGTCAACAGCTCTGGAAGAGACTCCACAGAATTGGTCTTACCAGACTTTAATAACCCTAAAATGTAAAATAAAATAAATAAACGTTAACCAGACATATTATGTATGCATTTCACTTAGTCAGCCAAATGGAAAGCAAGAAGCTTACTGATCCAGACTACAGTAACACCTAAATTATACTTAACACACCAACAGTACACTAGTTAGACGAAGGTGACAAACACAGTGGTTAAGTGAAAGATCAACGTGGAAGAGACAGTAACACAACTGTTTATTCATCCAAAGTCACTATAACTAATCAATCAATTTCAACAACATAGAGCTTCATAGGATCTGCTTTGAGGAGGTGGTTGACCTCCTTCCTCAAGAACGGTAAGAAAGGAGGAGAGAAGCCTGACTAACAGCAACCCGTCCCTGCCTGTTCCTTTCAGCTGTCATGTCACTGTGCTCTGCAGGGAGGCAATGGCTCCACTGTAAGAGAGGAAGCACCTAAGGGTCTCTGTGCCAGCAGGCAGCCCAGGAACACGGGCTCCCACTGAACCCACTGGCAGCCTGTTGGAGGGTTCGTCAGTTTGTTTATTGTAAAAAAAAAAAATTCTGTCATTTGCGGTTCTTAATTAGCATAACCCCCGAGACGACCTAAACGCCCACCTCTGTTACACTATGTTCAAGTTCACCACCAACATAATACAAAGTAGACTACTTCATTTCAGGTGATATTTCACACATTTCAAATTAATTAGAATATATGTAAAGATCAAAATAAACTTGAAGATGCAGACATTATCTGGGCTATAAAAGCTATACAACTGATTAAAAATAAAGTGTGCTGTCTCTTATACATTCAGAAAAGTGTTGTCCCTTTAAGGAGATCACCAGAGGCACAGCAATCTTTTCTGTTGTTCCAGTACTAAAAACAGCTTGTCAGTGACATTTAAACTTTCCCCTACTATCATGGGTGTTTATAGTTTTCATTTCAGATATTACAATTAAAATTGTGTGCTTTCAAAACCCATTAAAATCACTAGAATCAAATAAAATGATTGTCATAGCAAGCAATTACTTTTGGTTAAAACAAAACACCTTCATAAGATCACTTGCCAAGCTTGTCAGGTCAGCATCAATGTTAGGTTTCCACACAACTGTCTGATGATATGCCTTATACTCAAACCTTCCTTTGGTCTTCAATTAAGTTTCACCCTTTCAACATTATCTGCTTGGGCCACAGAAATAATGCATCATCAGAATGATATGGAACTTGACTCAACAGAGCAAATACTATTTATTCCTTTTGTCATTATCTCAGATCATCACATCTCCAGATTCAATTCCTAAAGTTAAATGACAAATTTTAAGTAAGGGTCATAAAGTATTTCTTTAGTAATCTTCAGCTTTGAAATGTCAAGACTGTGTGTATATGTGTGTGTGGATCCACAAGTGTGAGCATAATTGAACAGAGGCATTAAGATCAGAGTTATGACAATATTGTGGGTGTCAGTCCTCACCTTTCCTCTTTTTTTTATATATTTATTTGTATAACCAAGTCCATTTAAATGAAAACAAACATTTATAGACAATATTTGGGAATTTGGGCGTCGTTCTTTCCAAACTACTTCCTGCTGGTAAGGGCGCTGTCATGGGGGATTCTAAGAAGATGCAGAAATCCTGGCTGTAGTCTGTAAGGCTGCTTGCTCCAGCTGTTTTGAATGTAGGATCACCTGGTACTCTGTTTCAGGCGGTCTGGCTTAATCAAACCACATTAGTCTGAAAGGAATCCACAGCTTTTCATTTTCTCTAACTTGCATCTTATTTGAAGCAAATTTCTTTGCTGTTTTCTTGCCATCTACACCAGACAAAACTAGCCAGCCTGTGCGACTTAATGGATTTCTGTCTGTGTCCCATTTCCCAGAAGTGCACTGGGATTACACATGTTCCGGCTCTGCATCCAGCTTTTTTGGGGTTCTGAGGATTATAACTCAGGTCCTCATTTGACAGCTAATGCTTTTACCCACTGAACAACTTGATAGCCCATGAGCTTCTAAGACTCTGATACATATGTGTACACACACAATCAAATCATACTATTTAAAGCAAATCATGTATCTACTTCATTAAGCCATTAGGTAATAGAAAGCTCCCCGGTTTCATTAACTGTTTGACAATTTACCCATCCTTTTATCAACCTACCTTCGCTTTGTCTTTAGGCTAGAGGTAAAACATTCAACAGAGAATACAAAAATCTCAGAATGTTATGCTTAGAAAGATCTTAAGATGTGTCTTTCTCATTTCTAGATCTTCTGATTCCTACCTTTAATGTGTCATAAATCAATTGAGGCACATAATCTCTCCTTTTAAGTATCTTTTGTGTTATTTAAACCAATTCTTGATATTATTTCCTACAATTGTAACAAATATAGCAAATATCTCATTTGCAAAATAAAAAAATTCTACTTGCTTGCATAACAGCCACCTTTTCCTAAGGAACATAAGTCAATACACAGGGTAATCTGCCTGTGAATGCTGTGATAGAAGATACGCCAGACCATGTGACTGCCTACCACCTCAAAAGCCACACTGCAGTCTTCTTACTTTCTGGTCATACTTCACAATTACATTCTAAGGAAGCCATTAACAATTTGCATAGCTTAAATATAGATATGATAAATCCAGAATATGGGAGAATATGTAAACCAACTAGCCAACTAGTTTGGTAAAACTATATAAAACAAAAAGCATGGAGGATACTATTCTAGCTAAGAAAATAAAAGCAAAGGCAGTGTTAACCTTGACAGAACAAGAGGCAATGGCTTTAACCCCAGCACTCAGCAGAAGCAGTCAGAGGTCTGTGAGTTTGAGGCCAGTGTGGTCTAGCGTGAGTTTCAGGACAGCCAAGGCTACATAGAAAAACCCTGTCTCAAAAAAGGCAAGAAGGAAGGGAGGGAGGGAGAGAGGGAGGAAAGGAAGGAGGGAGGGAGGAATGGCAGGAGGGGGGAGGGAGGGAGGAAGGGAAGACAGAGGGAGGGAGGGGAGGACAGAAGGGATGGAAAGAGGGGGGAGGGAGGGAGGACAGAAGGGATGGAAAGAGGGGGGAGGGGGGACGAAGGGAAAGAGGGAGGGAGGAGGAACAACAGCTGAAATAGCTTTACAAACACCGTTGGGTAATCATGGAAATCTGGTTACAGAAGCTAACACTAGGTAAAGCTAAGGAACTGTGTTAATGATCTGATACGATACTGGTATTGGAGTTTTAGAGGAGAGCATTCTAAGACAGACTTATAATATTTATGAGAAACAACATATCTACAAAGTATTCCAATCGGATCAGTTAAAAACAGCTCTGTTTTTAACACACCGTGTGTGGAATGTTTAGAGGACCACAGAGAGCAACAAGAAGCTGTGCTTCTCAGAATACACAATCTGTACAGGCACACCGTCTGGCATGTATGTGGCCTAGGGTCAGGCCTCAACACCACAGAAAGGAAAAGGAAGCAGATGTGGCAATAAATTAATAGTGAGTCTAAATAAGATTGTAAAGGTGTTCAAACTGTTGTGTGTGTACATGTGTACATGCATGCATCTTTTACATTTTCAGTAACTAATTAAACTTTTTCAAAATAGGGCTCTTGCCACAAAGCATGATGACCTGAACTTGACAGAAATCATTCCTGAAAGTTGTTCTGTCATCCACACAGACCAGAAAAATTCTCTAACACACTAACCTGCAGATGGTGGACTCTGGATGACATCTGAAAGGTTGTATCCTCCAGAACTGTCGGAGCGCTTCCGTGGCTTCTTTTTAGCTCTTGTTTTTGCCTTCTTGAACATACTTTCCCTGGGAAAATGCAAACAAAGAATTGAAGGGCAAAGAGTTTGGTCAAGCACAACCACATAAGCATATGCAGGTACCATCTATACACGAGGTAGACCAGGGGAAATCACTAACCTTACGAGTCATCACTGTCATCTATTCCTTGCTTTAGCCCCATTGCTGTTAAGAGTTAAAGAGCCCAATGTTGGCCACAATAGCCACCAAATAGCAGCACTGAGCGTTCTGAGCAGCCACATCTCCAAGAGTCACTACTAGGGCTACCAAGTGATACAGAACATCAGCAGGTTGGGATCCGCCCACTTCCACAGGCACTTCCCAAGGACACCAAGTTCACTGAGACTGGGCCTGAGATGTGCGCCTAGTTATATGCAGCATGCCACAGAGCCGTGGAAGAACTCGAAGGTCAAAGGGACCCTCGTGTTCACCAAGACAAGAATGAAGACATACATCTGTACCAAGAAGAAGTGAGAACTGAATGGCATCCTAGCTATGATAAGGAAAACTCTTGCCAAGGATAGAGCCTCCTCCCCCTCTACTCATAATAAAGCCTTTACCAAAAAAAAAAAAAAAAAAAAAAAAAAAAAGGAAAGAAAAGAAAAGAAGAAAAAGGTACAAAAAAGGTACAACACTGTACTTCAAATAAAATCACATTTGGTCATTTGGTGTGTGCATGCGTGTGTATAAATGTGATGGTATCAGGGGTCTTGCTCTAGCACCTTCTACTATATTCCCTGGAGACAAGTTCTCTCACTAAATCTGGAGCTTTTATTACTTCACACCAACACTCAGGGCCCTGCCTTGAGCCTGCAGCCTGGCTAGCCAGCAAGGCCCATAGATTCCGTGACTCACCCCCCAGTGCTGCTGGACTTACAGGAATATGGTCAGGCCTCAGTTTTAATAATGGGCTGAGATCCCAACTGATATCATCCTGCTTGTGCAGCAATGTTCTTTCCCATGGGAGCACCTCCTCAGCCCTTGGTGGTAGTTTATTTTATAGTATTTGAGTGAATGTTTAATTGCTTGAATTAAACATTCTATAAATCAGGAAAGGGAAAGTAGGTATCTGTGAGTACAACAATTGTCTTATTTTAATGAAATATTTTACATCTCATTATATACTACAGTCATGCAAGCCAGGTATGAATATATCATTTTGTGTCAGGTAGTATAAGTTATTTAACTCAAATGTTAATAGATTGTATAAATTTAATATCATATGTGCTACACACTTTGGGGAGGGGGCTGAGAAAGGTTTCTCTATATAACAGTCCTAGCTGTTCTAAAACTCACTCTGTAGTCCAAGCTGGCCTCAAACTCACAGAGACCCACCTGCCTCTGCTTCTCAAATGCTGGGAGTAGAGAAGTACACCACCACCACCTATCTGTGTTCACATTCAAGGACAATATGTCTAACTTCCACAGTCCAAAATGATATCCCACATTAGGAAAAAAGTTCAGAAAATAATTAAAAGAACAATTCTGGGCTCATGAATGGTTTTTCTGTAAGGTACATTGCTGCTTGTCTAGAGCACAGAAGACCTCAACACTCAAAGACTTCAAGCTACCAAGTTATAAGTGATTCTATGATGTGAGCCCAAATACTAATAAGGCATTAGCCTAAAATACTAATTAGGTATTTATTCTATACAGAGGTTGTCAAAATTGTTAGACAACACATTTTTGTGACTGACTCCTAAATCTCAGTCTTTGAGGTATGAATATGAAATGTCCTCCCATAAGGTTGTCCCAGGTGGAGTAAGGCTCAAAGAAAGTAGAATCACAGGAAAAGACTTGGATAATAAGAGTCCAATTTCATCAAAGGATTAACAAATTTACTCAGAAATAAGGTCCTAACTGGACAAACGAGGTCACTGGAGTGTCCCTTAGAAGAGTGTGTTGTGTCCTGGTCCCTTGTACTCTCCTGGGCCTTATGAGGTGAGCTGCTCTGCTCTACCCTGCTGGCACGGCTATAGACCGAAGCAGTCAGGGTCTACAGAGGGGTCTCCTGAGAAAATACGACCCCATCTATGGCTGCAGCATTCCTGTCCAGATGCTCTCGAGTCCAGTCTCCAGTGTACAAACCTACATTCTTCTAGCAAGATGGGGGAAAGACAATCACTTGGCTGAACAGGGTTTAGAAAGAGATCACACTTGTCCTAATCTTCATGAATGGGCTGCCAAAATTGTCAAGCATTTACAGAACTATTTCAAGTTTTGTGCCATCATTAGAGCTGCTACTTTCCAACCAACAGCAGCCTCATCTCCTGACCACCCCCACCCCCACCCTTAGCACCTCTGTTGTTCTCCCAATCTCCTGCAGCAGCAGCATGCCTTTTTAAATGTCTTTACCATATCCACACAGGGTCTGACGAGGTCATTAAGACAAACGCACTTAACTAACCTGTATAACTATCTGAAGGCTACAGCATTTTTGTACTTAAATGTTAAACAGTTCAGGTTTAAAATATCAATCATGTATAATTACTTTGTATTATATCAAAACTAAAACTGTACATTCATACTTCCTATGTCAGAATGTCTCAATTTATACTTCCAATAGTAATATAAAGTGTCGGACATCCAATGGAGAAAAGAAGAAGAAAAAGAGAAAGAAAACAAGAACAGGGCTTACGAGTAATTTGGTTCCATATTTATTTCTTCTTTGAAAAAGACATCTCCATCTTCTACTTGCATGTAGCTAATATCTGGTCCATCTTGATATGGTGTAATGACTCTTCTCTCCATTGCTGGAATCTACACAATGAAATACAAACTTTGTAAAGATTTTTTGAAATTGATAAAATATATTACTTACAATGTCAGATGGTAACATTAACTAGAAAAAGTCTAGAATGAAGGAAAATTTTTGAATAGATTCAATAAAAAGCATATTACGTAAGATTGTTGGGGTGGAGCTAAAAGCAACTCCACTTTCTTTTTTCTTTTCTTTTCTTTTTTTGCAATGGTAGTTTATTGAAAAGTATACAGAATTGACACAAAAGACCACAGTGGCAGCTCCACTTTCTTATTAAGTACAGACTGGTCCATCCCTTAGGAGTCATGTGAAGCCATACTTTATAGTGTCCTGACCTTTGTAACTAAAACTCTGAAACAGCAATTTTTATTATAAAAAATTATGAGATGTGTAAATTTTATTATGCCTGCAATTTTGATTTTCACTTATCTGTGGGACTTGAAGGAAATTCTAATTGCTAAAAGATAATGTATTTGCACTCTTAATGAAATTATTCCATTGTTGTGCATAATCAAATACCCTGTTTTAAAACAGTAATTCCATAGCTTACAAAATCTGTAACAAGAAAACAAAAATTTTACCATTTTTCTGTAAAATATGGAAAGATCCTTCAAAACATCCTCACTTAAAACATCAAGGGACCTGAAAAACAGGAAATAAAACTCTAGTTTAAGACTCAAAAGATTTAACAGCTATGAAGATTTTCAGCTGGGCAGTGGTGGTGCACACCTTTGATCCCAGCAGTCAAGAGGCAGAGGTAGGTGGATCTTTATAAGTTTGAGGCCAGCCTGGTCTACAGAGTGAGTTCCAGGATAGCTAGGGCTGTTTCACAGAGAAACACTATCTTGAAAAACCAAAGGGGGAAAAAAAAATTTCCAGTACAATTATTTCAAATTGTGAAATAAGTAACAAAGTTCTTTTTCAAGTTTACATACACTAGCTATGAAATTTCTTTTGGAAATAGGTCTAGTTATATGTTAATGGACTTCAGGGAATGAGAAAACATATTATACAAATATCTTGATAAAATCAAAGGATGTCTTTAGAATGGGAATAAATCTTTTCCACTGTAACACGATACCAAGTACTCATTTCTTAATCAGGCATGTGTTTGCTAAAAGTAAACAACATGTATAGAAATATTAAGAAAGGAGAGCTGTATCAAAATTTTATTAGCATTACAAGCTAATGTAAATAATTATCCTATCAGTGTTGAAAACTGTCATGGTACACATTTGAATATGAAAGTTATAAAAGCTTTAAAAAACAACAAATGTATATGTATATATACACCTTATATATATAAAACTACACACACACAACGAGCTGTGTAAAGAATAGTGTCATTAGTGACACAACACTGCCTTAAGCTTCAGAGTACCCACAAGTTCTACCTAGCATTACCATTACTCTCATTTACCTCCATGACAAAGAGGAGCTCACTGAGCTTCTGAATCTTCCAGTATAAATGAAATTTGGATTACAGCAACTATATTCAAGATAAATTCAAGTCTCACAGGTTCCAACAGGTACTTTAGACATCAATGAAAATTAAAAACATGGTTTACATCCCTTTTCACGTGTGTGTGTGTGTGTGTGTGTGTGTGTGTGTTGCTTAAATGGCAACAGTTATCTCTAAATCAGTCCTGGGTGACAATTACTAAAACTATTTGTGATTTATCTCAGGAAAAGAGCAGAGAACTTTATTTCAATGTTTTAGAGTAAGTTTAATTAGAAGTCATATTGAATTTGTTAAGTTGTTATCATTTGTTTTGCTTTGTTTGCTCATTTTATTGTTGTCACTTTGATACACAGTTTCACCAAATAGCCTTGTCTGGTCTAGAGCTTGCTATGTAGATCAGGTTACCCTTGAACTCAGAAATCTACCTGTCTCTGTCTGCCTCCAGATTACTAAGATTAATGGCGTGTACCTCCATGTCACTTTTATCATTTGTAATCATCAAAATTTTCTCAGTTCTTAAGTGCTTCTTAAGAAGCACTGCTAACAATTTATTGGTGTGTATTGCCATCTCTCAAGATGGCAATGGCAGTGACCACATCTCCAAGCGGGCAGCATGCAGACCAAGGCAGTGAGCGCAGCTTTCAGTGCTGGCGGTAAAATAGCCGCCGCTGCCATCTTTTATAAACCGTGGCAGAAACAACAAAGACTTTGATTTTAACAATGCTGTTGTTTAACAGATAAAGACTCGTGGCTACAAAAAGATAAAGATTTACAGTAAAGACAGATTCACATTAAGAAAAAGCGCTAAAAGTTTACAGTGTGTTTTAAAAAATACATAGGCTAGGGAAAGAATAAAAAAATGGTTTTAAAAAGACAGGAACTGAGTGTGGTGGTTCACGCCTTTAATCCCAGCACTTGGGAGACAGAGGCAAGCAGATCTCTGTGATTTTAAAGTAAACCTGGTATGCAGAGTAAATTCCAGGACAGATAAGAGTTACACAGTGAAACCCTATGTCAAAAAATGAAAAAGTTTAGAAAGGACAAAACTCCCCAAGCCCTTTTCTCATTTGTAATATAAGGATATTAAGAAAAACTTTTCCACAAGTATGTGAAAATTAGTCTATGTAACACTTTCAGAAAAATGCCTAGTATATAGAAAACACTAAGTACTAATTATTGTAACTACTCAAAAAATATAAAACTATGTATTTAATAAGCAGTAATAACTACTATTATTATTGAAACAAAACACCAAAGGAGAAGATAAATTATCTTAAATATCTTAAAAGCAAACCTACACCCAGAGTCCAATTCCAAATATCTTTGCTCACAAATGTAGCCTCATTTTTCTTACCACTGACTTAACAGTGAGAAGTACTATTTTTATCATCATTAGGTATAAAAATTTTCATTAAAAAATAAGAATCTCAAGTATAAACAGGCCTGGTACACATTTAGAACCCTAATGATTAGGAGCATAAAGCTGCCCTGAGCCACATAGCCAGAACCTGTGTCAAATAAATAAATAAATAAAATAAAATGATTGTTAGAAACACTGGAAGTTTCCATGATCCCTCTAATTCTGAAAGTGATGACTCCTTACTCAGCATTTGTCAAATTCTTTCCATCTTGGTAAACATATTATTTACTTTTCAAGTCCAAGAGCATCTTTTATTTACATATAAACATCTGCTTATGCAAATATCATATGCAGCATAGGAACCCAACCAACCTTGCTTCAAGTAAGGCCGCCATATTCAACCCTATGAACTGTAAACAAGACTGTCTCAACTGTTCAGCATTGTACATGGCTGCAAACTCCAGCAGCATAGCAGCATTCTTAAGGGTAACTACAGACAAAAGAGATATACAAAATTAGATGAAAAATGTCTTACTTTAACAAGTGAAACACTTGCATTTCTAAAGTTACAAGATTTCAACATTTAAAACAAGAAAACTGTTCTCTAGACAAAGGAATAAATACTGAGGTGAATACAGAAATGGGTTTCATTACTGTATGCTAAAGTAATTTTAACTGGTTTTGAGGGGAAAAAATAATCTTTCACACACAAAAATTATAGAGAAAACAAAATACTGAAGGGGGAATCAGTGTCAGCTGAAAGCAGATAAGAACTTCCATTCTTCCTCCCAAAAGCCTTAAATGTTTTTCACTTTCACCAGTGAACATTCCTTTTCGTTCTGGTAGCACAAGAGTCTTCTCTAACACTAATATGACAGTTGGGCAAGGCAGTGTTCACCCTGTAACCCCAGCACTAAGGAGGCTGAGCAGGACTATCTGTGCATACTACATAATAAAAACTTGTCTCGGAACCAACAACTACAAACAAACAGGCATTAAGTCTAGGAGAAACTGACAAATTAATTCTAATGCTGACTAATCTGTATATATAACTAAGTCTTACTGTAGTATTATCCATGGCAGAACATGAGACAACACAAGAGCTCAGGACTACTAATGTCTAGTAATGTTCTATGTGAAATATTGCTTATCTAGAAACCCTCCAAGAATACTCTACCTGCTTTTGTAATTACAGCTACCTAAAACTCTCACCTTCTTGCTTATACTGAGTTCCAGCCAACAGAAGAATACAGCTGCTTTCTACAGTATGTCTTCTTGGGAATGATGTGTGCAATGACTACACAGGGTTTCATGGAACCCTTCGGCTAGGAATTTGTCCACCAGTAAAAACAACTGTGCAGCAAAGACTAGGAAAGACTAACCCGGGACGTCAGCAGAGACCACTGAGCCAATGGAAATACCTAGGTATATACTGTACATCTTGCCCCAGTAAGTCCTTTACCATAGCATTTCATGATTATAGAAAGAAAATGAGGGCTATCTTCCTATTGTTAATCACAGAGAAGGCAGCCCACAACACTGTGGATATTACTATCAATATTTATGGTTTCCCAGCATGTTAATAAAAACACTGCCTAAGTCCAAGGTATGTATATTTTCAATTACTTCTAAGGAAAGAATGTTTTTTACAAATGATGGTATGTATTAATCTAAATGGCTTGCCCTTTTTTCTTGTTCTTTGTTTGCTTTTGAAGCAGAGTCTCACTATATAGCTCTAGAATTCTATACATAGACCAGGAGCTCTGGCCTGGAACACTCTACATAGTCCAGGCTGGCTTCAAACTCACAAAAGCACACCTGCCTCTGCCTTCCAAGTGCTACAATTGAAGGTGTCAACCAATTCAACTTTTTAAAAGCACACACACACCTAACAACAGTGTTTCATCATAATGGAAAAATAATGCTAATACAATAAAGTACACTCGATCAATGTGAAAACATGGTAATACTCCACTTCTAATTACTCACGTTTTTCAGTCAATGCTCCTTCACAAACCTCCTTTAATCTAGTTATGAGAAGCTGATCGGCCACCACAAGAACACTACAAATAAAGTCCACATTTTGAGACTCTAACAAGAAAAAGAAAAAAAAAAATTACTCTGTTATTCTGTAACCAAAAACAAAGCAAAAACAAAGAGTTAAAATATCAGGATAAAGAGGCTTATGATTCTTTTCTACATGACAAGCGGGCAATACAACAAATTATGAACACAACAACCTTATCTATATCTTTCAGATGGACAACTAGGAAACCATACACTAAAATGCCTTGGTATCTAAACTTCTTTTCCTATTATTATGATTAAAAACAAAACAAACAAACAACAACAACAAAAAACAAAGCAAATTGGGGAGAAAGGGTTTTCTCGGGCATGAGCACAATTCAACACACAGTCGGGGCAGCGGGTACCTGACTGAAGCAGCTGGAGACATTGCAACCAGTGAGAAGAAAGCAAAGGATGCAAGTGCTGCTCAGCTCCCTTTTCCTACTCAATCCAGGACCCCGCCCAGGAAGCAAAACCAATCACAGTGGACAGTCCTTCTACTGTAATTCATGTTCTCCGTCACCATTAGGATAATCCCGGCAGGCAGGCATTTGTGTCCAGAGGCACATCTCTCTCCTAGTTAATTCTATTTCTATTAATTTGACAATTGACATGAACCACTAACCACACTTTGTTCATACACTCTCACAATGGTATTATCAAATGATCAACCTGAAGTGATTATTTTAATGCAAAAGGGTATTATAATTTCCCATTTCATTAAGAAATATTCCTAAAACTAATAAACAGGCAAGTAGCCCATGCTCCAGTGAAGGGCCACAGAGACATGCACCTTTGGGAAACACTAACTATACTTCGTGGCCTATCATAAATAAATAAATAAATAAATAAATAAATAAATAAATAAAATTTGTCCTGACCTCCAGGACCAGGATATGCGGCACCCTCATCTGATCTCTATGGGTACCTGCACGCGCATGTGCACACACACACACACACACACACACACACACACACACACAGAGAGAGAGAGAGAGAGAGAGGGAGAGAGGGAAAGACAGATATACACAAATAAACTAAAAATTTTTTAAGGTGAGAAACAAAAAAAAAAAAAGACCTGACTTTTACCTCTGACCTGCATAGCTACACACACACACACACACACACACACACACACACACTTACTTTAAAAAAGAAATAAAGAAAACATTTCCATTTAAAACAGTGGCAAAAGGAATTCTGAGAATAATTATTTTGACAAAGGAAGTAACTGCAAAACCTATATACAAAAAATAAATAAAAAAAATAAAACTATGGACACACACCCCATGCCCTATACTAAGGGCACCGTTAAAATGACAACTTTCTCACATTAATCTACAGCTAAAAATATTGTGCAATTTGAAAATAATGACAAGGGTACAATTTTAAATTTTAACAAATAACAGATATATATTTTAGAAATGGGTAATTTATTGTTAAAATATATAAATATATAAATTCCTTTTTAAAATATATTATTCACTTCAAATATATAAGTAACAAATATACATTTTAAAGTCTCAGTAACACATCAGGCACAGAAATCTTCAGAATCTCACTCTCAGGCCAACACATCTTAACAAAGACCACCCAGATTTCCTCATGCACACTGGGGTACTTGCTACAAAATGCACTTACTGTCAAAGAACCACCCTGCTCTGTACACTTGTCTTCTAAAATATTTTGATTCTCCCCCACCAGACTGTAATTTCTTGCAAACAGGGTCTTTTCACTTTATAAAAAAAAAAAAAAAAATCCTCAATGTACATCTGTGCCTAAAAATTAATGGCATAATGAATCCCACAAATGTTCACTGCTACAGCAACTCAGACCCACAATTAAAGCATAAGTTCTGCTTGACAGCGTGCACAAATCACTTCCCTCATGAACTTCCTTTGAGTCGATCTGTTTCACTGCTGACACATTATAAGGGAATTTTCATACAGAGTTTGTCAAAAATTACACTCCTTGTATTCACTGATCTGAACATAGAGGCAGCTAGAGAGAAGAAACTTCCAACACTACTTTCAACCATGGCACACTATTCTACAAAGAATGATTTGAGGCAATAAAAATGCCATTTTTCTACTTGATTACTATGTGTAATCATCCGTTACTTGTATTAAGTTTCTAAAAACGGGGCAAAAAGAAACTGATCCATATAGATTTTATCATTCTCCTCTTACAACCGAACCAGCTAAATTTCCTCTTGGTACCTTTTATCACCACAGCTTCATCAGTATAGAGGTAGTCCAAAAGAACTTTCAGGATCTCAGACTGTATTGGCATCTCCAGAGCCGCACAACTGGAGGCCTATAAGACATGAGACAAAATAAACTCACTAATCTGAAACTACAAACTACAAAATACAAAATATTCTAAGCTGCGTTACTACTATGAAAACTTTGGACAGGAAATCACATCAAAGATCCTTGGAAGAACTTATAAAACATGAATCTAAAATGATATACTTAATTTTAAATCATAACCAAAACAAGGGGATACGGAAAATTCAAGGCATATAAGGACAGTTCTAATGTGTGTCTCAATAATGTGGTGAGAGTGTGGTCTTTAAGCAGCTTTATGGCAATAATTTTAACTTCCATAATCTTGGTATTTTCTAGCAACCTGAACACACATAATGTTAACACAAACAAAATGAAGAACCAACGCAAAATACCAAGTTCCAGTTCTGAATGTCTTAATGTATAGCTCCCTAACCCCTAGTATGTGTAGGAATGCCTACTCACGCTCCATTTACACCTCACCTCAATCCAGGAGCTGCTCAGCATGCTGTGGAAATACTCTGGAAGAAAAACAGTGCAGTGAGAACAGGAAAGCAGAACCCAACAAAGGACTCAGCAGCTAACAAGATGCCACCTACCGAGTCTTGCACAGAGCACACATTTATGGCAGGGGAATTCCTTTCCATCCACGGACTTCATGGTAACATCATACAGAAATGAACTGGGAAAAAAAAAAAGTTTAATCAAGCACAGATCAATTTCTTGCATATTTTCAGAGGGGTGAAAAAAGCTTAGCTTTAATATTAGTCAAATACTGGCAAGAGCAAAAACATTCATGGATATGCATGCACCTCATCTCTCACTATCTCAGGAAAGTGATCATAGCCAAATCATTTTAGATTCTTTAAAGAGAACTAAATATTAAAACTTAAAAGCTTTCCACTGATGTTCTTTTTTTATTGCCGGCAAGGTATTAGTGATAGTCAGTGGCACAGTCAAAGCCCTTTACTTCTCTTATTTAAAGAACCTACTGCATGCCAGGTAATAAATACTTAGAAATTCTCAGTTTCTCTTTTTACAAGACTTAGCGCCTTTAAAGTATCTAAAGCAAAACTTTTAGCAATGTATGTAGTGTATTCTGGAAAAAACATACTAAACAAAACAATCATAATCATAAAGAAAATAAACTGGTGGGGGAGGGCTGAATAAATCCTATGGAAGAAAAAGGAACAATGAAAATCCCTCTCTCTGAATACAGTGGAAAGGGTGATCTCCTTCAATGACTTGAGCAGTTAGAGATTTCTCTAACTCAATGGCATCCTAAGCTTCCCAGAAGCAGCAGATGTAATGGTATCTCTCGTCTCATGACAGCTGCAAGCAGCTCTACTCCATCTTATAAACCAAAATCTAAATATGCAAGGATGCTCCTCATTTACTAACTTACCATTTTTTCTGACTTAGCTTCAGTTTATTACCAGTTTTCTTCGCAATAACATTAATTTTTTCATTTTCAAATCTGACTCCATCTAACCTATCAAGAAAAAATATAAATTAACAGCAGATGGACATAGTCTTCTCCTAAGACTAACACACAATAAAATTCAGTCAGTTAAACACAGTTATGTCATTGTTCCAGCAGGTATCAACAAACCTAGTTTCAAGCTATAATAAATCAGTTTTGGACTTAATTAAAATTTGCTAATATCATTACTGACAAGTCACATATCAAAACTATAACACAGTCTCTCTGTATCTTCCTATAGGAATCACAGTGCACAGTCCTCCCTGACCCAAATCCAGCACAAGCAGCTTCATATGAAAGCCTTATGAGAGAAAGAGCAATCAGTGCTGGTTCATAATGTGACAGGTACCATGAGACTCCTTAGTTAATTCAGTAGCAAACCTTTATCAACAACACAAGGGCTTTACTTCCTGAGAAACTGAGGTCCATAGAAACATGTGCTAGCCAAGATGAGCAGAGAAAGGAAGCGTACAGTGCACAGGTCTTTCTCACATCTAAGATCTTTCCGAAACACAATAGAACTTAGCATTCTCCCTGTTACACACTCATGGCATAGCACCGAAACCCACCAGCAACCTTTCGGTTCTTAATTTGAACGAAGAAGTTCCTAAGTGGTAACTGTACCAGAAAACAGCAGTGAGAGAAAGGTACACATCCACACACTTCTCCCCCAAGACAGAAGTAAAGGGAAGCAGAGAGAAGACAGAAAGGGAAGAGAGAAAAGACAACAAATACTTCAAAGGAGGACTGAATGTGGTAAGCTCAAGAACAGAGGATGAGAACTGTACCTGCTACTCAAGTTACTGAGGCCAAATTTCTTTGCAACATTTTGCAACATTCTTACAGGATCATCTTCTCCAACACCTTTTCCCTTTTTGGAAGATTTGTGTTTGCTTTTCTGCCTTTCACTAATTGCATGAGCTTGGTTGCTTTTGTAAACCTCATATGCTGCCTTCTGGTTATCATCCGCGTGGCAATTCATGTTATTCATATGAGAATCTGAGGAGCCCTTAGAGTCTTCTGGCTTTTTGTTCACGAGTATTCTTGGTTTGAAACCATGAGTTAGGAAGTCACAAGTGTCTGTATACATGAACTGTAAGAGATACTCGAACAAGTCGGGATGGACTTTCTCCACCACAAAGAGATGGCACCCTGCAGCGTCCTCGTCTTTCCTGTACACATCTGTCAGTTCTGAAGGAGTACCATCTGAAAGAAACAACTTCTGGAAGAAGTCAGAGCGCACCGCTAACACGTATTTATGAGCAGGGAAGAGTCTGTTGCCCACTTGAAATGTCACATCGTGGATGTTGTCCATTTCATCTGTTTCCCTCAGGAGCTTGCCAAATTCTTCAAAAAAGGATGATGAAGACACAACTGGAATTTCATAAAGGCTGGAAAAGAAGCAAAGACAATTACTACTTTGAAGAAAGCACAGAAACGGATCCCAAGCTGATTCCCTTGAAAAGAAATGGTTTACTTAAACTTAGAAATGTTCAATTCTGGAATTTTTTAAACACAAGAATATCACCCCAAAATATGTTAAATATTCTAGAAACCTTTAATGTTTTTCTATAATGTTTAAACAACATAACTGAAAACAATAAAAATAAGAAAAGTCCCCAAGTTTTTCCTTTTTTACATAACTCACTTTACAAGTAAACAAAAAACAGGAACTAAGCAAATAAAGTCATAGATGAAGAATAGTTACTCACGTAAGTGAAAATCTATATACAATCATTCTACAACCCTGAGTGCTGTATGCTTGTAATGACACCCCATTCATCTACATTTCACTCTACCAAGGAAGGCAACTGATGTTCTTGATCTGCCTTGGACTGGGGGTTCCCAGCTTAAGACTTTCAGTGCTAAACTGGGACCCTGAGTAAACCAGAATGGTCGGTCACATGACTTCCAGTACCACCTCCTTCTCTCTCTCTCTCCAATGTCAGTGATTTTATCCTCTTTCTCTACTAATGTAGTGGGAACATGTTCACTGGGATTTTACCCAACATGTGACCATACCACCTCTTTTTTTTTTTTTTTTTTTTTTTTTTTTTTTTTGTCAATTATCACATTTAAGAGTCAGAAACTTTTGTACCACCTAAGAAATATTTATAATCCATTCTTCAGAATCTGAGAACCCCGAGTCGAATATGTAGTAAAGACAGACCCCATGTAGGCATGTGTTTTTTTCTTGAATGTCTTTAAAATCAGGTTATAAACTAGGGGAAATAGGCACTATCCCCAGTGTAACAAGCACTCCCTTCTGATTGTCCTTGTAACACACTCATTTGTTAAAGTTGTCTAATTCTTGGTAACAGCTCCTCAATTTAATTTTCATCAGGAGCTACTGCAAACAGAAGAAGGTCTAATGATTATTCCTTCTAAAAATAAAACGTATTAAAAATGATTATACCTTGTTTTAGGGTCTGACTGTAGGATTGCAAAGTTGCACCCACTTGCATCTGTGCTGACACTAACAGCTCTATGGGCAAAAGGAAGTTTCTCAAGTCGAATTCTTTCATACACACTATTTGTATCAGAGACACAAGACACATCTGATGAGGAATGATGTAGGTTTGGTAAAATGTCTGCTAAAAAGAAAATAAATGAACTATCATTAATCAAGGCTGCAATGGAATTATTAAAGACTTAGGAGTAACTGGAATAAAAATTATTTGAAAAATATAAAAGTACACATGAAGTCCTTCTGAAGAATTTAGAACCTCTCCATCTTCAACACAATTAGATGCTGCATACTTATTACACATACAGAGAATTTTCAGTATTAGCCACAATTTCTTCTCCCACAAACACCTTCCACACTGCAGCCAAAGTCAGCTCTATACATATTAGCTTGGTATAGACGTAAGTGTCACCACAGGTTCCTCCCTTTCTTTTACAGGCACTGAGCAAATACTGGAATAACTACACAGTGCCACTGTGAGTCAGTGACCACCAATACAGGGCAATCAAGAGTCAGTAGGACAGAAATTCCCCTGCCCTCAACTGTTCAATCTAGCAAGAAAATCATACCTTAGAGAAATGACTACACTAGTCAAATTCAGTCCATAAAAACAAAATATCAAAATGTTTCCATGTAGACATGGCACTTACAAAGAAATTACTCTGGCTGCAGCAGAAAAAAAAAAAGTTTGAATCAGAGAACATAAATACTCTATTACTTTAATTCCACACAAAGAAAAAAAATAAAAGATGGTATAGATTGGGACTGTAGCAATCAATCAGGAGAGGGGAAAGGAAAAGTTAAGAAAAATTAAGATAAAAGTAGTCCCATTTGGCAACTGTTAGATGTACAGAACGGGGCATGGGGTGAAAACACCGAGGAGCAGCTGGGAGCATGAGGCCATGAATTCTCAGATCACTAAAAGAGTGATGTAAACACAAGACACACATGGTTACACTTTCAAATGTAGTCTAGTTCAGTCTCCTGGATTTTACTGTGCTTCCTCTAACACCGTTATTCCCATCCCTACGCTCTCAAGACACCCACAAGCACATTGTATTAGTTACCTATCTCAGGAACTGTAAATCAAAGGTATCTCTTAGCTCTATAAGCTATGAGTGCCTGGGAACAGGGCACATTTTCAAATCATTAAAATCCTGCCCTATACCTAGCACATAGTCAATGCACGTAGCATGTTTACAGACTTGAGGCATCTATAAAGAAATAAAACAACAAATCAATACTACGTAAAATTCCTTTTACATTTAATAATTTTGAAGACTATGTAACTCTCAGAATAATCATAAATGTTCGTAAGATATACTGTAAGCATGTAACAACTAATGCATTCGTTCAAAAGTATATAATGAAAAACCACAATGTGGCAGGGAATACATTAAATACTAGCAACAGAGAGGGATACCCATGCCCTGTGCCATGAGTGACATTCTGTCTCTAGGAGATAGACACAGGATTAACCATAAAGGCAAATCCACAAAAGTAGGGGTAACCCTAGCAGTACCGTCACATCAAAGGCTGACTAGAGTACTAAGTACAATCATACAAACTGACCTTTCTTTTCAGAAGTCTTTCTTTTGTCTTCAAACCATTTCCCTTTAAATCCTTCCCCATCCTGTGTGACAAACAGAATTTCATTTCTATTTAAAGCAATATCGGAGATTGACACCTGGCGTGAACAGGCCCATCGGCATTGCTTCAGAGAACTGCTAAGTGATCTCCAGCAAAACACCTAAAATGAAATCACACCACAACACAACATAAAGCGACACAATATCGGAATTTAAAATTGGCACTGTCAAAACAAAAGCCTTAATGCATGTGATTAGATGATTATTCTTCCACAGAAAAGAGATACTTGCAGGAAAAGCACACTGCACATAAAAAATAAAATAAATAAATAAATCTTTAAAAAAAGAAAACAAAGAAAGAGAGAAATACTACAAAAATCAAGATGATGTTGGAGAACTACACCTTTCAGGAAAGTAGATTAAGCAGCATGAAGTATTATTAAATGTGATCCCATGGCACTCCCCTGGAGGAGATGCTGTTTTCCATATGACTTGCTTGGAACAAACAGTCCTGCTGGAGTATTACAGCACACTAAGATGTTACAGTCAACATTTTAATGTAATTACCAAACTCACTTCAACTCACTCTGAAGGATAAAAAGAAGATATATTTAATTGTACAGCTAAAACAGAATCTTAGATAAAGAAGTATCCAAGTTTAGTGACTCCTGGTGGCCCGGGAATAGGTTAGGGAGGATAGAAGGATGTAAGGGGAGGGTGCTGTTTCTGCACAACCTCATCTACAGAGACAGCACCTGTGTCTGGTCACATGCCACCTTCTAAGTTTGAAGATGCTGATAGAAAAGGAGGGACTGTTGATTTGTTTTAAGACAGGAGCCTATTATACTGCCCAGGCTAGCCTGAACACTGGCCTCATTGTCCTATGTTCCACCATATCCAGTTAAAACTGATGGTTTCCAAAAGTCTGACTCCTCATAACCAATTTTTGAAAATAATAGCTACAACTTGTGCCTGCATACACAGCAGCAAGTGGAGCTTTGCAATTCCATCTTGTGACTGTTTATCTTTGAGAGGTGGGGTTGAAACAGGGTTTTCTAAGTAGCCCAAGCTATACTGCATCTTCATCTGCAGCCAGCATGGGTTCATACGCAGCCTCCCTGCCTCACCCTCCAGTGTGCTAGGACTACAGGAAAGCACCACTGTGCCTGTCTAAAGTCTGTGGTGTTTCAGGAGGAGGGAAGGGCACTCTGTGGTACAGACAAACATGCCCTGATATGATTCTTCAATTTTTAAAGTTTGAAGCTTCATAACACTATTTAAAACTCACAAGTATCTTATAATGTCATTATTTTATGAGAAGAAAACTGTTTTGTTAACCCGCATGTGATTTTATCAGTATTACTAATAAATAAAAGTTAAACATGTTAAATTTAAATATATTTAAACTTTACAATACTATTTAAAATTTAAAATATTTGTAATTTATAATATAATTATGAGCCTGTATTAAGCATATCTTTAAATATGTAATTACAAAATATGTTTTAGGTTAGAGCTGGTGAAGTGGGTTACTAGTTAAAAATGCTTCCTGCCCAGCCTGATGACCTGAGTTCAAAACTCTGGGCTAACATGGCATAAAGAGAGAAGTTCCCACAACTTTTCCTCTGGCCTCCATAGAAGTGTACTACAGCATGTGCTCTCACACACAAATAACTTAAAAATTAAAAACATTTAAACTAGCAATTCTATAGAGAAATGCATAGATACATTTGTACAGGAATGAAAATTACAGTTAAGAGATAAGACCTAGAAACACATTATACATGGAATAGAATAAAGAGCATCATAATGTCTCCACCCATAGATAACACATACATTTATATAAAACTGTAATCTTTCCAATTATGGCTCAAATGTGTATTACATTGCCTGTTTACTGTTATAAAAATGATTATATGACATCTTCTATCTACAACTTTCAACTCGTTTATGGATATTTTTATATATCAAATAATTCAAACTACTTATTTTAAGAAGAGCAAATGAACCTTTAAGCTGCCATTTAGCAACAGTACTGTGCACCACTGGGTTAGAGACAGCTCTGTGTGTCTCTGGAACCCTAGTTCTATCCTAGGATGTCAAAGAAGGGAAGGAGCAACCATCAAAAACCAGGCACTCCACTCTACATTATCACGTCTATACAGATCACATTATTAGTCCTTAACATAAATATATACTCACCCTTCCAGCTCCATCCATAGCAAGGATGCATATTTTCTGACCCCCATTTTCTGTCAAATGTTCAGGATCAACCTTGTATTCCATACAACCTCCAGATACAAGAACCTTTTTCAAGTTTAGTTGTCTGAGTGAAAAAAAAAGTCATAAATTAGCATTCTCAAAAGCACACATACTTAATTTTATAGAAATATCATTAAAACAATTATTGACAAGGGAAGTAGAAAGATTCCACCTCTGTTCACTGCAGTCTCTCCCAGGCAACTCTTTCTTCCTACAGCATGTCTCTCCTTTCAAAGTCTCTAGTTACACCATGAGAACCCAAATCCTACTTGCTAAGGTAAACATTCACTTAGAGGTTCATTCACTGAAACATTATCAGCTCCTAAGTATACCCATATCATAACATAAAAAAAAATTAAAAATAAAACAGAAATATTTAAATATGGACAATTCTAAACAGTCTCACATACCATGAAAGTCATCTATCAGCCAAACATTTGTTTTTCTGTATGTTTGATATGCAGAACACAATGTAGAGCCTGCCCTACAACTACTGCTATTCTACAACTGTCTTACCGCTCAGAAAGTTTACTTGCTTTGAAAAAAAAATGTCAAAGTTGCCATGTAGTAATTTAATCTATATCAAAACAATTTCTTATTGATAATTTGGAAGGAAGATATAATTATACAACTTAGTATGTTCAGGAAAAACTTTAAAATGTTTTATAAATGTTAATTAAAAACACAACTTAACATTCCACTCACACCTATTTAATTGGTTCTATGAAACACATGTGATCACATTTTCATGATTCTAATACTAAAATGCAAGCTACAATCAACGTCAGATAGGGAAGACAGGCTGTATAACCTGGTGTATGACACTTTCAGCTTAGAGCTAGCTTCACATTAACAACCTAAAGAAGCCCCCATCTCATCATCATCACGCACAAGCAAGAACATGTTCTCTATATTTCCAAGTTACATTTTTCAAGGAATCAGTTACAGTTTATTAGAGTATTCCCTACTCTAATAAATAGGATAGAATGAAACACTGGTTAAATATGGCTCTTAAATATCAGTCTGAAAAGAAAAAGGTTTTCTACAACAGGTGAATACTTGGAAGGACCTAAAACAATATACTACTGTCAAATCAGATGTGGGTTAATTAATTATTAATGACCGAAATGTATCAGAAACACAAATTACTTCCCAATTATTTTTAAATACCTGCGTTCTGTATCACTCTAAACAAAATCACAGGTGTAAAACTATAAGTGAAAGGCAGAGAGCTAAAACTGGCATGTGCACCCAGGCCTGAATTTGATTCTCCAGTCTGTGATATCTCAAGTAACAGCTAGTTTATTACATGCTACTAAAGCATGCTAAACACAACAGGCTACACTGTACAAGGATAAGCAGCACACCACTTAGATGTAGAGCATGAACCTGGATAGACTGTTTATGGTAAATAATTTTCTTTTAATAAATAATGTATAAGACATTAAAGTCTATAGATGACATGGCAACCATGCTATAAACCAAGAATGAGGATTAGTCTCATTCTATATACCAGATACATTAAAAAGAAAACTAAACCTTTGGGGACATATATTAAATAGGATTCAAAATTATTATTTTATAATTTGCAAACAAACTGTTTATATATCCTTGTCAAAAAACAAAAAACAAAAAACAAAGCAAAGTCATCAAAGAAAACCATGCCTAATTTTCCCTTCCATTCTGTTTTCTCACAAAGCACAGCATGAACCTAGCAGTCAGTGAGCAAGCAGCTGGAGAGCTGAGTTCTTATAGCTTATGACAGGCTTCTTTTCCAGAAATATACATACTTAGTTGCCATCTTCTTGCATTGATAGTCTGCAAGTAAGTAAATGTCTCCTCTTGTGGTAACACAGACGGTGGCACCATCACTTGCAGCTACCAAAGACACTGTAATATCCTTATGATGAAGGGCAGACACTTGACGAGGGGTAGTGACACACTTTTCTCCATTGGGATCCAGTAAGTGACCTAAAATTTTACACAAATAAGCAAACCATAAGATATCTATTCTTAGATTATACTGTAGTTTTCAGATATCGCCATGAAAGATTTCTTACCCAGTTGTCCACCATTGAGTCCCAGTGTGTAAACGGCTTCTCGAGTCCACAGCACTGTGTGAAACCTGCCGGCTGCTACTCCAATTACAGTCTTTCCTTTCAGGTATTTTGCCTGTACCTGTACAAGTAAGACTACAGCTGACTACATATCTAAAATCTAGTGTAATTTTCTCTAACATACAGCACACCAGGCAATAAGCATCCTCCTCATCCTCACAACCTCTGCCATCTAACTGCTAACACATCTCCCCACTCCCCCCAAGACCCAGATCCTCAGAACATTCAGCCATTTTCAGTCATCAGTTCTAACAAAACAAACTAGCATTGTACAAAACCCAAATCATCACAATTGTAACAATAGTAAGCATTTACAAAATAACTATTCTTTAAAAAAAAAAAAAAAAATGGGGATTTTTAAATCTTCTCTATCCAAGATCTCACAATGGTAACACACTTGACATGTTGGCATAGATGATTTTCTACCATGAAGGGCTGCCTTATGCATACATGGACTCTACCCATTAGCTAGCTATCATTAGCACCAGCATCCCACTCCTGCTGAAACTGTCTTCAAATACTGCCAGGTGACCCCTGGGAAATCGAAGCCTCCCTATCAACCCAGGATTCCAAGGTAGCCATACAATGATAATAAATAGGAGTGCAATCTATTTGCTGTTCCTACAGAACTCCACAAAACTAAATACCCACAAACTGGCAATAAGTTGAAGAACACTGATCTTTTTGAGGGTATCCAACTAGAGGCTACACCCAAATATCCTGGAGTAATCCATTAGCAATTCAGAAGGGAAAAAGAGGAAGATTTAGACACCTGATTTAAACTGTCAATTCAATGATAATTTTAGATACAAAGGATTAAAGGAAAAAGGGATTTAACATACAAGACATACAAGTCTTATAGTGATGCACTGAAAATATCTGTCGTGGGTGATGAGTTTAATAAAACATTAATTTAGAGTGCCCCCTCCTATTCTGTGCTTAAAAGTCTGGGGTTTGGATGGTGACCATAGTCCATGGGAATGGGGGAATGGGAGAATGGTGGACTATGACCCACATACCCTCTTGTCAGCAGGCATGACACTCAAGTAGAAACACATTTAATAAAGCAAAGGCTCTTCTCTTAGTGTCTCGCTTGTGCAGGCATATATTATACTGATATATTTCTTTTTAAGGAAAACAAGTTCAAACTAAACACTCTGGGACTGAGAATAGATTAAAGTAGTAAAAACCCTGTCTAGCTTTCAAGAATCTTGACTGCAATCCCTAGCGCCAAAAAGGGAAAAACAAAAATGAAAAATCAAACCACATTCATCTCTGCTTCTAAATATTTTAAGTTAAATCTGTGGTCTCCTGAGTTGGCTCGGGGGATAAGAACTCATACTGCTCTTGCAGAGGACCTGAGTTCAGTTCCCAGAACCATGATGGGCAATATACAACCACCCGTAACTCCAGCTCCAGGGAACTCTTCTGACATCCAGAAGGCACCTGCCCTCGGGAACACACATACACAGACTTACACACAATTACAAGCAATTTTTTATCATCTTTAAAGTTAACTCTATGGTAATTTAGTAGGTAATCTCCCAAGCGCATAACCTCTCCAGTGCTTTTATTTTTGACTTCAAATGAATGCCAATTTGTACTGTTGTTTCCTTACGGAAAAAGAAAATGTAGGGAGCAAAGGAAACCCTGACTGAGTGAAGTCCTGAGCTAATGCATATTGCTGACATGGACACAGTCATATGGAGGGCTCTAATTCCTCAGTCGCAAGGGAGTGGCAAAGCCTCACCTGGGTAAGGCTAAAGAGCAATGGCAAAGCTTTCCTTGGGAATTTTATGAGTGTTTATGAACAACTGGCCAAAGTTGTTGGACAAAGTTGCGTGGACAAAGACTAGTAACTGCAGCTTCCCCCTCCTCCTGGATATTTACAGCCTGAGACTGTATGCAGAGCCTCCTACCAAGACCAGAAGTCCCTCCCACTATGCTGCTCCTAACATACATGCAGAGGTTCCAGGGTGTTGGTGGTAGTAGGTAACCATCCATCAAAGTAAGCACACTACCAATTGATCCCAGCTTTCCTATGCATACATCTGTGTGTCCTTTCTTTATGCTCTCACTACTACTAGTGAGGCTCCCAAGACCCAAGCCACATACATCAGAAAAGTATGTATCATATCACTCAAGATCAAGTTAACTAAGTAATACAGCTACTCATTAATAAGTTGTATCTGTTGTCCATATAAATTTCATAGCATATAAGCACTCACTGGTTAAAATCAGAAGTTTACCTGTCTTGGTACATTACAGCTAGAAGGTGGGGGAATAATTCCTAGTTGGTGAAAAATGTTGAGACCAAATGTATAAACAAATCCATCTTCAGTTAACACAACTGTGTGATCCTTGGCAGCTGCTACTTGGGAACAATTGTGACCAATCAATCCTTCCACAAGCCTGGGAACCTAGGAAACGGAGTTAACTTGATTATAATATACTAGTCTATAGTGACCATTTATATAAAAATGAACACAGACTCTGTGACATCCAAAATGGTTTGACTAGAAGACTGCCCATTCCAAAGGCAGAGTCTATGTTACATCAAACATACAAACATAATTGTATGTTTATGGTTTATGAGCAAAACAGATATAAGACCAGTAGGGAACTTCAGTCAAATAATTCAAGTGAGTTTTAAAACATTTTTAAAAACTGTTTATTAAATTTTTTTATGTGTGCACATCACATGGCACATGTTTGGTGGTCAGAGGAAAACTTGTGGGATCTTCTGTGAATCCACACAACAATCTCATCATGTCAGGCCATGTTGGGTCTCCAGTGCCCTTTAAGCCCTTTCTATATTCCCAAATACAAACTTAGTGGCATGAATAAAAATGACCCTGTGGTGGTTTAAAACAAAATGGTCCCCAAACGGAATGGCACTATTGGGAGGTGTGGCCTTGTTGGAGTAGGTGTATTCTTGTAGGGGGAGTGTGCTATTGTAGAGGCAGGCTTTGAGGGCTCATATATGCTCAAGCCACACCCAGTGAGGCAGTTTACTTCCTGCTGCCTGCATATCAATGTGTAGCAGCTACTTTTCCAGCATATCTACCTGCACATTGCCATGCTCCCCACCATGATAACAGACTAAATCTCTGAAACTGTAAGTCACCACTTCCATTAAATGCTTTCCATTGTAAAAGTTGCCTTGCATGGTGTCTCTTCACAGCAACAGAAACCCTAAGACAGAACCCTTCACTATTCAATATTTTAGGGAGGAAGGGAAAGAAAACAACTTCCCTTCGAGGAATAACCAATATATACTAAACTACACTATTTCTTTGCAGTTACTCATCCTGAACTCAAAGCACACATTAGCTACGTTCTAGCTATTCGATCTCAATCATATTTTTAACTTTTCTTTTCTTCATTTTTCTTATCTGAAAGCAACATGTCTGCTTTCTCAGTGTTACTATAATGCACAAAGTGCAGGCTGAGTGCTGACAGATGACAAGACCACTGTGAGGCTCACTGAAAGTAGCAACAGTATACCAAACCCTCAAGAGGTAGAAGCTATTACTGTTGTAGCTTTCTTTCCTTTCATAGATTGAAAAAAAAATCAGCCTTTTCCTGGTATACAATAAACTAGGTTTCTTCCAGTTACCACTAAGTTTCAGTAACATAACACTAACATTCTAATACTATAGAGAAAATATTGTTCACTTTTTTAGATCATGAATTATTTTTAAAAAATATTTTAAGGAAATTTAACTCTATACTTTATATATACATATACATACATATATTATATGTACATATATATTATAAATAACATATATTTCCTGAATCAGTATTTAATGTAGGCCAAATACTTCTAAGATATTTTAACTTTTATTTAAGTCTTTAATTTCAGATTTTTTTAAACTATTACTAATTTTGAACATTATTTTCCTTTACAACTATGATAAAAAAATTAATTGATGTTTCAAATTCAACAGGGCTTTACTAATATCTACTATGTAATGGCAATTACCAGGCATGTCTGTTCATCTCCATGGCCTAACCGTCCACCACGACCATGCCCACAGGTGTAAACCTGCCCTTTCTGGGACAGAAACACTGAGTGAAATTTGCAAAGTACCACCTAAAGGGAAAAAAAAAATTGCGTTATTAAAATGCCCTGAAAAAAATCTTTATCTCATTTCCTTAAGAGGAATATTGTTAATTGTATAAGTTAGATATTTAGATATTCACTATACTATTCTCTTTACTATATACATATATATGTATATATATATATATATATACATACACATATACACACACACATACATATATATATGCCTCATTTTAAATTACACCTATAAATATGAGAGAGGAACCAAAAAAGCAATTAAGTGGGAGATTAACACTGGAATGTAAGCTTTCAGTCTTCAATAACAAAAGATAATTGTCCTTTGTTTTCCAGTTTAATGAGGTGTCAAACAGCAAGAACTAAGCAGAGTGCAAAATGGAGACTAAGATTATCAAACAGAATCTGTTATTAAAAAAAATAGTAGAAACATCAAATAATATTTTTAGAAAGATATGACAATGCACATTTGGAGAAACACTGAGTACTTTTTTTGATCTATTCATTTTTATCAAATACAGCTTTAATTTCATTATATGGCCTTAAAGAATTTTATATTCTTTTAGGTCTTTCTCTTTTGCATTTCTTTCTTAGCTTCCCAACACTCGACCAGTTGCTGATACACACTTGGCATTCACATACTCCAGAAATAAGCATACTGAAAGAAGTAGACAGCATCATCAGAAGGTAGAAACATCAAATTCACAGTAGTTTTAAACATGCCCATGCTTACAGGCTAGCCTACCGGCTTATGGGCTAGCCCACCGGCTGCAGTCTGCTGCTTTCACTGTAGCGTTAAGTCACTCTCTACACCTTACTACTCTACAACTCCTTCTTAAGATACACAAAGATGAAACAGAGGGAAACCTAGAATCATCCTCCAGAAAGGCATACTCCTTTGGAAGATAAGAAAATTGTAAGCTGAGCTACAGAAATCCATTAACTACTCGGAGTTCTATAAACACATGCTTACCCAAAAAAAGAAGAAATACATAATATGTAATATATTCATTTAGCTGTACCACAAATACAATAAAAGAAAATCTAAACTCAAATCCCCATTTTATAAAGTTAGAATTTTCAAAAGAAAAAAAAATTATTGTTTGAGTCAAAACGAATATATTTGGCTCATTTATATATCCATTTTTATTCCACTGCTAAACAAGCCACGATACTAGAACTTAACACTTTAAACTTTTAAACAATTAGACATGGTTTTTCATCATGTCCACTCCCTAGGATATGTAATGGTTTTATCTCTGCCCCATGATAGTCAGTTCGTTTAGTGCTACAGAACAGCCAGCTTTCTTTTGGTGAGTAAAGGCATTCTTCATCTCACTATGCTCCCATCTAGCTTGTTTCCTGAACTGAAATTTACAATCCTTATCTTCTTTTACACCTGTCCACAGAGCTTGCCTTACTCATATTCTATAGTATATAAAATCCCCTTGATCCTCAATTGCTTTACAAATAATGATATTTCCTTTCATTAGTGATTTGTGTATGTGTGTTTCTTATACTGTATATAATAGGACCAGAAGGTAGAGTCACACTCTAAGTCCCTTAATAGCACCATTATTGTTAGGAACTAGCAGCCAGCTGACCCCCGCCCCAACGATAGGCAGGACGCTCATGGCCGTGTCATCCCTAGTCAGCTTTACTTGGCTTTACCTGGCGGCCAGAGGACTCAGTTACGCATGCACAAGTCCCCTTTAAAAGCAAGTGCCCCACACCCCTCTCTCTCTCTCTCTCTCTCTCTCTCTCTGCCTCTCTGCGCTCTGCCTCTCTCTGCTTCTTTGCTCTCTCTTTGCTCTCTCTCTGTTCCCTCTCCCTCTCTCCCTGCTTTCGGTTGGCCACCAGCTACCCCCTCTCTTTCCCCTCTCTCAATAAACTGCACGTGGGCGCTGAGTCTTGTGTTTGTGTTTTATAGGCATTAGTTGCATCAAAAGAACAACAATTATTCCCTACCAGTCTCCTACACACTCATTTTTTTGGCTGCTCTTAGGAGAACAGTATCTTCCATCAGTCTCGAGGCTGTGCCAACTCACCAGACCCAAAAGCCAGAGCCAAATAAATATGGACTCCACAACTTGACCCAAAATAAATCTTTCCTCCTTTCAATAAATCCTAGGCATTTCTTTATATTAACAGAAGATTAACATAGCTCATAAGACAGACCCAAATGATGGGATCTGAGACATAAAATGTAAAAATCTTAGCACTGAAGTGAGTACAGTGCATGAGACAAAAATAAGACTTCAGGTTTCTTAAATTTAAATACTTCACAAGACTGTCTAGAATACAATAAAAGTAGCTTAAGAGAGGAATAATACTGAAGACAGTAACATGTGTGAACACACACACACACACACACACACACACACACTGACAGTGACACACTCTGTGGAAGTAAAACACATCATTCAGCAGGACAGACGAGCATGGAGAAAAGCTTCACATGTTACCAGCTAAAAGTGCACATTCGCTCACATTTAAGAATTAAGGATCATGTACCTAAAATAACACTGATCTGCAATACATGCACTTGAGAAACAAATGTATGTCTGAGGTACTGTCTAGTCTTGATATGACTGAAGCTAATGCAGTAAAAACCAGAAGTAGTAAATTCCTAATGGATTTGGTCATTAAGATGTTATCAGACCTTCAAAAGGGTAAAAATGTGAAAAACTCAAACTATCAAATACAGTAATACTTTGTCTTGTCTCTCAAAGTACCTGCTTGACATAAACCCCACTCCTTGAGAACAGGTCCACCAGCTCCGGGTGATGTTTGCTGTTCTGGGTTCCATGGCCCAGAGTAAAGTTTGTGTTGTCACCCCAAGTATAGACTTCTGTGGGATCTGAAATAAACATTAAGATTTCATACTGTTATAGTTTAAGTGAATGACAATTTAGCCTAATTATAGAAACACAGTAATCAGTTTACCTGAAACATGACTCAACAAAAACTAATTTAGCTTTCATATTTAGGATTGTGGTGCTTTAGAAATATGATTCTATTAACACAGTATGTAATTCTAGGAAGTTATAAAACTCAGAAAATGCAATCAGAGTGAAAGCCTGGATCTGATGTGAATAATCATAGCATTATCCCTTACTGAGAGGTGACATGAAACCTCCAGCTGAATGGACCATCACTGGCCATGTCTACTTTGTTTCCAAGAAAATCTAAGGGTAACATTTATAACTATACCTGTGTTTATAAAGGTGAGCATAGTACCACTGTTACTATGTGTTACTATACAAACATTAACTTTTTTCTTTTTTAAGGGAATTGAGGGCTTGAGATGGGATTCCCAGAGTGCAAGGTGACTTCTGAATTCATTATGTAACAGACACGGCCTTGATCCCCTCACCCTACCACCACCTCCCAAGTGCCGGGATTACAGGTGTAATTAACACACCAAAGAATTAACTGTCACAGTTCACTCTTGATACACAAAATCACAATGACTAGAGAAAGAGTCTTTTAACTAATTTAATTTAATCAGAGAAAGTTTAAGTCTTCAGTTTTATTCTGGAAGACAGAAATTATTCTACAATGAAATTTTGATCATCATGAGCAACGTAGCGCAAAGCTGTGTTCTCACTTAGCTTAGATAAAAACTATGTAATACCCCCACTTAATTCTCTTTTTTTCCCGTAAATTCACATTTCCAAAACCAAAAGAGCAAAGAAACTGGAAGAAGTGACACTAGTATGTACAAGTAGGACTTGGGACATGGTCCAGTGGGCAAAAGTGCTTGTAACAGAAGTGTGAGGACCTAAGTTCAAATTCCCGGAACCCATGTAGAAGCCAGACACGAGTGAGCATCTGTAATCCCGGCTCCCCAACATGGAGATGGGCAAAACCAAGAGAATCCCAGAAGCTTAGAGGACAGCTAATCTGGTGGATGCTGTGCATCTCAAACAAGGTGAAAGGCAGGAACCAAACCCAGGGCCAGCCACTGTCCGCTACATGTACATTCTGTCACATAAGCATATCCACATTCACACACAAACGCAGACACACATCCACAATAGATGTACACACACAGAGACACTTACTAAATAAACTAGTTTTTTTCTTTTTTTTAAGTCTTAAAATATGTGGGTAAAACTGTTACTTTTTTTCAGTTACTTTGGGTGCTGATGTTATTTTCTGAATGCACATCATGGCTTTAAAATTTTAACAATTATAAACTGCCAACTCTTTGGCTTGTGCTTTAACTAGTAAAGGTACAATTTAAAAAAAGACAAAACAAGATGTTATGGATACAAAAAATAAAAATAATCAACAGATGTGAAAGCAAAAGTTCTTTGTAGATATTCTAACAAATAAATCCATAATATTTTAATCAGAATAAATACTACTAGGAGTTTCCAAAACTGAACCTTACTGGACTGTGTGGAGCTATTCTTACCAGTGTTCTTAAACACAACGTGGTTTGGCCTGTCCTTCATTAGAAGATCCAAAGGTGACAATCCTTCTTTATCTTGCACATACAAGCTAACACCATGCTAGGGAAAAAGGTACATATTATCAATTTACTTCAAACCAATAACTTATCAGAATCAAATGATCAACATCATAAATACATTTTTTAAAAAAGAAAAATAACCACGTAATAAGTATCTATCACATCAACATACATTTTTCACCGATATACAAAAGAACTAAAAAAAATATCAAATGCTCAATTATTGGTTTTAGGGTGTGCATGTGCTGGTGCCCACTGATGCAAAAGTGGACATGTGATCCCCTAGAGCTGTAATTACAGTGAACCACCCAATGTGGGTGCTGAAAATGAACTCCAGTCCCCTAAAAAGCAGCAAGCACTCTTAACTGCTGAGTCATTTCTCCAGCCCCAAAGCAACATTTTAAACCAAAGTGAAGTACATAAGACAGTTTTTCAAGGTAGATATTTCTCCACTGAGGGATGCCTAGTCTCCAATAGTGGCATTACTGAGAGATTGACAGGTAGGGCCAGGTGGATACTTTTCCCAAAGCAATGGTAACAATGAGTTTGAAATCTCCCAAAATCACAAACCTAAAATTTCTTCCTCATAAGGTAATTTCCCTCAAGTATTTTGTTACAGTAACATCTAACAAAACAAAGTAGATCTGATTGCCTAAAAGGATCTATGACAGTATGCCTGTAGTTAAGCATGTTTACAGACACACTTACTTTTTACAATCATATTTCATGTCTATGAGCATCAGGATTGCAAAGATTTCACAGCAATGGCAGTGGCAGTCAGGGTTTGTCTCCTATAATGTCATCATCAGTGCCCCATCTCTTTCACCTCACCTGCCCCGATCTTACAAGACAGGCAGTCTCAAGGCAAACGAGAACTCAGTTACTCAGACTCATAAAGCTTATCTCGTATGTATTCCCACTAGACCTTACTTACCACCTATGTCTGAATTGTCTAAAACAGCCTTTCAACTGAATCCAAGACTTCGGACTCTTGTCTGGAGCTCCCTCATGGACTCCCATCCTTCCTCGTGTATTTATCTTGAGTACTAACAGTGCATATTTTGAGCAAAGTGTATGCCACTTACTTAAGATCAATTCTTTCTGTAGACATCCCCCAGATGTGTAATTTACAAAATAGCATTTAAGTCTATGGCAGGCTTAAGAGCCTGGGTATTTTATGATGGTCTTCTTCAGGTAACAGATGGACTTTATACATCACTTCATCACAGAGCACTAATGCTACTGGAAACACTAACATCTGTTTTTGTTATGACTATGTAGTCTTAAAAAAGAGTAAGGTAAAAATCATTATTCCTGGGGTTTAGAGGAAGATAAAATGTCAGATCAATTATTCTAATTAGTTTACAGGTTTTCTATTTTAGTTTAAAAATGTGGTTTTTGTTTACAGGTCTACAGTAGTCACTTGGATGTTCTGGCTGTCTCCATTGTGGAGTATCGGACACCCTAAGATCTTTTTGCGTATGTTAGCACTGTTGGTCTCTGTTATGAGCAAACCCTAACTCTACAATATTTTAAGAGTACTTTCCACTTATATTTAATTACTTGGTTTTTGCCTGTCTCCCCATACTAACATAAAAACCCAATCAAAAGAAGAGCTCAGTCATGTTCACTGCAATGACTGCAATGCACAGATCACTCCATGACATGTATCGTATACTCAAAAGATATTTGTCTAAATACTTTGTAGTTGGTGTGTCTACAAATTGAGAATTCTATTCGGTTTTCATAACAATAGGAAAGTTCAAAGTTCTTCAAGACCAGTGAGTAAACAAAGTATAAAAACACAACAGCACCAGGTGTAGTGTGTGACTCCTGCTTGCAATCCCAGCTAGGCAGTAGGAGTTACAGGTTTGAATTCAGCTTGGGAAACTAAACAGGATCTGGTCTCAAAATTTTAAAAAAGGCTAAGTATAGTGCAACCACAGAGTATTGCTCTGCCATGTTTGAGGCCCCAGGCTCCTCCCAGTATTACAAGGGAAACCATTTAAAGTGCACTGCAACAGATGCAGAAGGATCCTATAAAGCCTGTGGCATTCAGTCTCCTCATGCAATAAAGCTGTCAAAGCAAGGCTACTTAAAACTGCTACCTCCATTGCAGCTTTACATAGGCAATGAGTTCTAATAAGGTCTCAAGCATTTGGTAATCAGGACCGATAGTACGGACAATGTGGTTGTATATTTACTGACCAATTTATTTTGGCATTTGACATAAAATTTCTGTAGTTCTTAAGTTTTATCAGATGTAAATTCACTGAACCTGCATCCATGGTTATAGTTTTGTTGTCAATGAGTAACACTTGAAGTACTATGGTGTACAGAACTGACATGAAGCCCATCGATGAAGGACTAGCCCTGCAGCCCTGTCCATTGAAAAGAGAAAGGCCAAAGGAAAAGACATGCTGAGCAGCATGTCTTACGACCTGAGAATATTGAACAGTTTTGGAAAACCATTTTAGTAGAAAAGTTTTATCACTGAAACTTTACTCACTATTATTAATCTACCAGTGGTCAATAAGGCTCTGATGGCAAGGCAGCCAAAGCACAACTTCCTAGCTTCTCATAGCCAACACACACCCATACTACCATGAAAATCTAAAAGCAAGGGAAGTCCAAAATTCAGGCCCAATGAAGTCCTAAAAACAGACACGTGCTTAGCAACCCTCCAGTCAGAAGAGAGCCAAAGAAACCTCAAAAGCTCCACGGAATTAGCAACAATCCAATATCCCAGCCAAGGTTTCAGAGGGGGTAAGACTGGAGCCAGCTGATGCTTTAAGTCTTCAGCTTTCCCTACACGAGAGAAAAGGGACTGGTGATGCTCCTTACAGAAGTGGGAAGATATGAGGAAGGACTATTACTCTCCTTTACCAGAGATGACTTGGTAAGTAGGGCACTTACACAATTTAGCTACGGAAAAAGGATAGTGTACTAACTACCAATATACATTAGAACTTATTTTGATGAAAATATATTCCAAAACAATCTCATGTAAATAATTATTTTTTTAAAAATAAAACACAAAAATACTAATGGTAAGATTCCTAATTTAACTACAAATTGCTTGAGGATAGAAAACTTGTTTAGTATTTTTTAGCTTTCATAAACTTTAAAAAGTGCCTACATAAAGCAAAATTACATATGTCCAATGCATGACTCAGTATTCATTAGTGCCACAACACTGGTATTTCTCAAAACACTTCATAAAACAAACCTACATGGAATCTATGAGTGAGAAATTCCACATAAATTAAATTTTTAAACAAAAAACATTTTGTTCTAGTTAAGCAAGAAGTGGGTATACTATTCAAAACCATAATTCTTATCCCTAACTGATGCTGTCCTAGACCTCACAGAGATCTGCCTAGGTGCTTTTGTCTCCCAAGTGCTGGTAATAAAGGCATAAACCTGGGATTAAAGGTGTGGCTTGTTTATTTTCTAATGAGAGACAGAATGGAAGTGGATCTGGATGGAAGTGAAGATGGAGAGGGGGAGAGTATATTTCAATAAACGAAAAAGGAAAAAGAAAAGCGTATGCCTAAGTTTTAAATAAACTGACACTTACCTTCAACAGAGACCAAGCGCAATCAATATGTCCATAAAAAATGCTCCTGTGCAATGCTGTCCAGCCTGACTCCTTGTCCTTCACCAGCAAGTCCACTCCTTTGTCAATAAGCCAGTCCAACACTCCCTTCTTCCCACAGGAGGAGACCAGGTGCAGGGCACTCCTGCCAAAGGCATCCTTGACAGTTGCAGCATTGTGACAGTGACTGGAGAGGAAGGCCTTGATCTGGTTCTCACTCCCCTTTGTCACCACAGAAAGGACATCCAAAGCATGCTTCAGGGATCGGCATTTTGATGTGCAGTCAGGGGCGGCAGAATCCATCCTAATTACTTTTATATTGCTTTCTCCTTCACAACAGTCACTGAAGTAAATTTTAAAAATGAAAAAGATGGGACCCACAGATATTATTCAGGAAGAATTACTGAGAAGATATGACCCTTTGGGGTTATTATTTAAATAGTCACAACAATTATATAAAACTATATATCTTTGTATAATCTTTTGGCACTTAAATCAAAAAGTTATAAATAGTTCTACAAAGTTCATATCAAATACAAGTTCTCTGTAAAAAAAAAAAAAAAATCCCAGTTTATAAATTATTCCTGGAGTCAAGCACCAAGGGGGAGTGAGGAGGGGAGCTCCCCCTCCACACCGTCTGAGCCTTTCAAATCTCCATAATTGCGAGGGTGACCTGTAAAAAAACAAAGTAAAAGCAAAATTACAAATCTAACTCTCTTGAAATACTCTATAATGTCCATAACTCCACATCTAAATGCACTCCATTTATTAAAAAGAAAAAGCTACTGACTTTCCATGTTGGCCTCTTTCATTACCTCCTGTATTTTTAAACTCTATAAATACTTCCCCAGAAGCTATAAACACATTCACATCTATTACCTTCAAGAGAATGTCTTCCAAAAGGTCACCACCTAATATTACATCATAACCATTACCAAAACAACCAACACTTCACCCATTACTCCATTTACTTCATGGTAGGCAACGTGTCTTCTCACCTGAATAGCCTCATGTCATTGGGAGAAAATAATTAAACTAAGATTATCAGGAAAACTGAAGAGCTATCTGTAAAAAATAATTTTTGACACTTTATACCCATATTAATATAAACTCTAAATGGCTCAGAGACAAAGACAAAAAAAAAAAAAAAAAAAATAAAAAAATAAATGAAGCCAGGAAAACATACGAAGGAATTAGTTTATAATCACCAAGTACAGAAAGTGTGATCTGAAATCTCAAAGTATAAAATGATGACAAGATATAACTTGTAAAGCTATATAAAATGTTAGAGACAAAAAAAAGGAAAATCTCCCTTCCCTAATACATAGTAAGTAAACCTTTCCTTTGTAGTGTGCAAAACTTTCCTTGTTATCTATTTTTTTGGGAAAAAACAAAAAAACAAACAACAACAACAAAAAAAAAGTTACAAGACTCTTTAGAGCCAGGCATGAGTGCACTGTGTGTACAGGGGACTTCAGTACATTAGATACAAATATGGAAGAATCTAGAGACAATCAAAGTCACAAGTCTAACATTGAACTGGCTTTCTGATACTGACTATTCTGATGAAGTACCTGAATTCTAATTCTACCTCCAGGTACATTTCTGCAAACCTATGGAGTTTTTAACTGAACACACTCCCACAAAAGGAAAAAAAAAAAAAAAAATACCCACTTCAAAAAAAATTTAAGTTTGAAACTAAAAGAAAAGAACAAAAGTCTTTGGCACTTAACTGGCACCAAGAAAAGGAACCAATGCCTCAATTAGTTTAAAATGTTAAAGCTAAAAGCCCAATATATAGCAAAATAGTCAACTCGTTAATTTTGTTCTTTAAGCTCTAAAACCCACGCCACTCTTGCTTGCCCCACATCAGAATGCTTGAAGTGGACATTTCACTGAATCCTTAAGTGGCCGGATGAAGTGATAATGTAAGGTTCCTGGCCTGAGTGATGGGCTAAAAAGAAAAAAAAAAAAAAAAAAAAAAGTATTTGAAAACCAGAAACAAACTTGGGAAGCTATACTGGTTTGAACAGGAATGGTCCACATGTTCACACTTTTGAATAATAGGTCTCCAGTTGGTGGAACCATTTTGGGGAAGATTATAAGGTGTGGCCTCAGCCTCAGAGAAGACACATTACTGGGGCCAGTGTGAAAGTTGCAAAAGACTCTAGCCATTCCCACTGTCTCTCTGTGCCTGCTACTTGCAGATAAAGATGTTAGCGCTCAGCTATTCTTGCCACCATGCCTTTGCTCTGCCATGATCATTGACTCTAAGCCTCTGAAAACATTACCTCAAATAAATCTATTCTTTCACAAGTAGTGTTGGTCTTGGTGTCTTATCACAACAGGAAAAAAGAAACTAAGACAGGAGCCTAAACAAATGAGCAAATGAATTATAAATCAAACTTAGTCTTATACATGACATATGAAATGCTGAAGGGAAACTGAGTTGGCAAAGCATAGCTAGCTAGCTTAGCTACTGGCAATGGTTCAAACCCAACCCCACAAAGATTTTAGCCAGTCAACACTGAGTCCTGAACACACAGGCCTTATAGTCATCAATAATTAAGACTATAACTGTATTTTAAAACTAATCTAATCACCTACTCTCCTAAAATATCCCAAACAAAGGAAAGCAGAAAAGCAAGCAAACAAACAACAACAACAAAAAAAAAGTCTCACATGTTAAAAACAGCTTTAACCAACAGTAACCAACAATCTTACCCAACTGTCAACCTTATGAACTGCAACAACCACCCTGACAAGATATGTTCACTGTTGTAATAGTGGCACAAAAGTTAAGGAGTAAACACTTTCTGATTGGACTTAAGCTTGCTTTGTAAGACAGAACTCACATCTGGCACCACTAATGGTTGGATAGGTCGTGGGCCCTAGCTGAGAATCCACTACATTAGTCTGCTAAATGAGAATAACATTTAGCCCACTTCTAAGGACTTCTCATTATATCCATAGATTAGTACATCTCTCAACCTTCATTACAGAAGCTTCTTTTTAGCAGTAGATGGTGACTAACACAGAGACCCACAGCTGGTCAGCATGCTCATCTCCAAATGAGGTACCTGTATCATCCTCCCAAGGTTCATGGATCATTGTGGATGAGGGGATAAAATAATTTAAGATTCAGAGGGACTACACAGCAAAACAATGGTTTTCTGAACACAACATGATGCTTGCACATGTGAACTCATAGCCACTCTGGCCGAATGAACAAGATAAAGCCAGGAAAAATCCTAGCATAGGGCAGGGAGATAATCATGCAGTCAATTCCCTAGCTGAGGAGCTACTAACAATTGATGGCTGATAGGAGAAAGTGTGGCTCCAGAGAGAGGCTACCCATGCTCCAGTAGATGGCCTTATACCCATGCACATACAGGCAGCATTAAGTTGCCTAAGGGTTTTGTGTGTGTGTGTGTGTGTGTTGTTGTTGTTGTTTTGTTTTGTGTTCTTTAAGACATTAAAGTAAAAGGGAACAGTGGTAGGGAGGACAGGAAAAGAAATGGAGGAAAGAAATGGACAGTAGGTTTAATCAAAAGACACTATATGCATGTAAGAAATTCTCAAACAAGAAAAAAAAAAAATATACCCTTGAAAGCCCAGGTGAGAGCTTCAGATGGGGATAGGTATTTGTGGTGGTATGAGAATGCTTGGTACCTAGTTAGTTGAAAAGTTTGGGAAGGACTAACCCTCTAAAACTGTAAGTAAGCCAATAACAATTCAATATTGTTATCTATAAGTCACTTTGGTCATGGTGTTTCACAGCAACAGAACAATAACTAAGACGGTATAATGTCACACAATGCTCGGATTCTGAATTCGGAACACCCAAACTAGTTAATGCAATGCAAGTTAACTTAATTTCTCTAAGTTTCAATATTTTCGTTTTTAAAAGATTTAAAAGTATCTCTTGACCTGTTCTAAAACATCTTGGTAAATAAATCAGAAAATGTCAATACTATATTAGGACCCTTTCTTTTTGACATCCAAATCTTTAACAGGCTACTTCTCAGTGCTTACAAAATAATACCTACCTTCTTTTGAACTTTCATATAGACATGTACATACAGAGGTTTATCTAAATTAACTATGTCTCATTTCAACCCTATCAGTATATGACTGCCTTCACCTTAACTATGAAGAAACAAGTAGCCTACCTAAATTCATACAGTGAGAAAAGTGCCTGGGTACCACTTGTCAATCAACTGGATCTCTCACAACAGTTAGGAATGTCAATAAGATATAATATTCGGTAGTCAGGAAAAACTGTCCTTGTGGTTGCTACACCCAGAATCATAGACAAGTGACATGAGGTCCCTATGCCTCCATTTCTTCCTTTGTGAGCTACTGACAATGACCTCCCTAGGAGATGTATATATGCCTTGCCGACATGTGTCCTCACAGTAAGGGAGGGAAGCATGCAATACTTGTTCATATTTTCCACAATCAGTAAGCAGGACAGTTTTTACTGAGCTCTTTAACACCAAAACACTTGCCCTGTACACCTGTATTTTTATTAATTTAAATGTTACAAGCTACAGAGTATGAGTCATAATCAAAGTGAAGGTTTTATAAGCCTAAACACAATGGTTAGGGCTTTAAACAATTTAGCTCTATTAATATTGCAATCTATGTCACTCTCAAATATTCTCTGTGTAAAAGACCTAGAAATTTAGTTTGGTTCAACATCTATCTCGTTTTCATAAACAAAAATTTGTCCAAAATTTAGGGACCAAGTAAGTGCACCTGGATGTGGCAAAGAATTACTCCCCTGTAGTAAGAAACTAGTTTGTGTCAATGAAAGTAGCAAGTCATACCGACATCCTTTAGTAAGTATACTCATTCGGTCTAGAATTTTATAATCCAGAAGCATCTTAAAAGATAAAAAGGAAGTGAAATTATCACAAGAATTGGCATAGTGAAAGTCCTTCAAAAAAATTTATTAAAAGTGAAAACCAACATATCCAACTTTTTTCTTGAAGCTGCAATGTGACTAAAGTTTTGCAAAAAACAATTTTTAGAAAACATGTTTTTTAAAAAAGTTCTGTCCACATGTACCATGAAGTAGGTCTCTAAAACAATAATAAAAAACAAAAAATCAAAGCAATTCAACAAAGAAGTGAGGAACTGACCAAAAATGCCGGTGAATTTGCATTAGGGAGGTGGCCACACTATTAAAATAGTATTAAGAATTCTTTAAAGCGCCACCACCCTTTCAGTATGTCTGACAAACTTCTTCAAATGTCCTACTTCGAGGTAAAGGGAAACAGGTGTTACTCAACCTTTGCTCCTTGAAAAACATTCCCCTCGGGCTAACTCAAGTTCTATGATACGTTAGAAACTCAGGTGAAGAGTCAAACCCGGCCGATGGTGTGGGTTGGCCATTTCCCCTCTGAACTAACATTCCCTTGCAACCTGATAGCTATGAACCAAAGGCCTTTTTGTCCTATCTCTGCAGAACAGACACGGTCGCTCTCCCCCAGCAATACATCTCCCTGCAAGACCTGCTTCAGCAAACTCGGCAAGGCTCAGACTCTGTAAACTGCACTAAGGGTTTAGGGACAAGGGAGCCTCTCGGAAGGGTTCCGAGGGAAGTGACGCCAGACACCACCTCTCGGAACTAGACTTGCAACGTCGCTGGAGGGCGTGTCGGGCGGCCGGGCGACGCAGCACTCCGCGGGGCCAGGCCATTCATTAGCTGGAGGGGGCGGCGGGGCTGCGCTCCCAGGCCACCCGCCCGTGCCACGCGGCGCGAAGCTCGAAGCCACCCCTCCGCGAGTCGCCTCCCCGGGCCCTGCTCCCCTCGCCGGGCCGGCAGGACGCCGCCGCCTCCGCCCTCACCAGTCGCTAGATGAAGGTGCGCCGGGGGTCTCCGCTGGGAAAGCGCGCGGCCGCGCAGGGACTCATCTTCAGTGAAGGCGACAGGGGACGACGAAGGGAGCCAGGAACCGAGCTGCCCGACTCAGCTCCGGAGGCGGCTGCAGCGACCGCCGCGAATGCCGGCGCCGGGACGGGGTTCGGGGACCTGGGCTAGAGCGGGCGGGACTCGGGAATAAGACAGCCGCTGATTGGCTGGAGTGCGTATATGCCCCACAGTGATTGGTCGGGGCCTGCCCACAAGGCCTAGCGTGGCAGCACCTCAGCTGTGGCCTTCCCCTAGAGTCCCAGAGGGACTTGACCCTGCCGGCCTTGGGGATGTAGATACCGGCTGCCGCCTGGGACTCGGAAACAGCAGTGCCCCGCTTGGTGCCATTTGCCATCCTAGTAGATCTGTAGGTCGAGACTCCCTCGGAAGGGAGGCTAAGGCCGGGCTGGAGAAAGAAAGGACCTGGCTGGATGCACAAGCACCCGTCACCATTCAGTGGAAGCATAAGCATCTTAGCTCCCGGCCGCCTAGCAGTGGGGTGACTGGAAAACCAGAGGTGCCCTCTGCCCAAGAGTCAGCCCTGCTGCCCTGTGAGCCCCTGGCGTACCCGGATTGTGTCACTCCCTTTGTCAGAAGGCACTAGCTTTTTCAGATCCCCACTGTGCGACCAGCTGCTGCCTTAGGTCACATCACTCATCACTCAGTACCTGAGGCCAGGCTTGCAATAGCTTTTCTCCCTTTAAATCTGAAGGCCATTTTAAAAGTTGGAAACTGTTATGGAGAAAAGCAAGCCAATAATCAGTCCAGAATGGGAAACACGTTGTTGCTGAAGTCTGATATGCAGGCGCTTTCGTAAATAGTATTCAGGGAGAAGTAGCATGACTCCGGAAAAAAAAAAAAAAAAAAAAAAAAACAGCACTAGGAGTCCGAAGTTGGTTGAACCTCTGTCACTAGCACTCTTAATCTAATAAACGGAGTTAAACTCGATTTCTTCATATGCTGGTTCAGCCTGATTATCTGTTTTGTAGACTTTGTAGGACATTAAGTTGGTAGAACAAAGTGAAGGAGAGATGAAAGCTGAGACCTAGCTCCCAGATCTCCCATTACAAGGTCTTTCTTTGCTTTCCTACTTCCTACTTCGACGTGTAACAAAAACCAGTCTGTAGTGTGTAAACAATGACTTGAAGCTGTATATGATAATCACTCATGAACAAAGAAGCCCAGTGATCCAAAACGAATAATGTAAATAAATGTGTTGACCTGAGTTCACATCTTTTAACTGTCTCTTCCTTGGATCTGAGTAAGTCATTTAGGTTTTCTGAAGCCTTATTTCCTCATCCACAAAGTACATTTTTGCTGTGGTGAAAATGTATCTATAGCATTGAATTGAGTGCCAAACACACACATACACATGTGACTAATTTTTACATGTAAAGTAGTCTTTAGCTTAATTATCATAAGTACTTATTCATCTAGAAGTTGCCATGTTGAAAACACTTGTAAACATTGGGGTACAAAACGTTCATATAGCCATAATCCTATATGTGAGAATTAAGTGCAACTTTAATAAATATGTAAAAAGATATACTACAGTGCTACAAATTTCATCTGATTTCCCAAAGAAATAACAAACTAGGTCAGAAGTAGAAGATAACTAGATAAAGAAGAGAAAGAACATTATCATGCCAAGAAATGTCTTTGAAAGTTGGGGCTGGGGGGCAAAACTGGCCCTGCTTCAAAAAGTAGCAGAGAATAAAATATTAGAACACTACTTGCAAAGTAAAAATTAACCTGCCACAGTTGCCATGGTACTGACCAGATTGAGAGATATTCTGACATAACATTATTGTCCCTGGCACAAACAGCTTGCGTTTCATATTTTTATACACTGTTGGGCCCAAAAGGAATGCTAGTTTGTGTCACCAATAGGTATCATAAATATAGTGGTTACAGGTGGCCATGTCAGTTAAGACACTCCATGCTATCAGGGTTTACCTTACAAAAGGTAAGCTATATAATAGAATCCTAAAACATACTACAGTAATTCATGGTTAGTTATAGTCCACAACTATTTTAACCACAATTGATTAGGTCAAGCCAATTTTTCTCTCCTTTTAAATTTATTCTAACATGTAGACATACATAAAACTATACTATTATAACCTGTTGAGTTCCTTTTCTGTTGTGTGTATGTATATTTTATGACTAACTATGATATAAAGAGTATAATAACATTTATGCAAAAAACTAAAAAAGAAACTCCAAGCTAATAAAAACCTAACCTTTTACTCTAAACTGAAAACAAATTACCCAACTTTTACCCCCAAGGTGAAAATTAACCACATTACACCAGAAAGTAAATAGCCTGGCTTACCTTTGGATGAAACAGAAAGGCACTGAGCCAACCCCTCATCTTTTTTTCTTTTTCTTTTCTGATCTTTTTTTACTCTCCCCTTTTTATTTTGCTGCATGTTTAGCAATATTTGTAAGCTATTATATTTTTAAGTATTTTTATTTTTCCCCTGTATGCCTTTGTCTAAATATGTTATGCATTTTTTTTTTACCACTGTGCAATCTTTTCTTTTTTGATCCTCTTTTCCTATTTGCTTTCTGTTGCTCCCTTTTTTTCCCTTCTAGTATACTTTTAATAATATTTTGGATTTACACACAGGTAAGTGTAGCTCTCACTCCTCACCAAGGAAGTTTTGTTTCGCAACAGTTGGAGACCATCACAGAAATTCACAGCTGGTCAAAATGCAGAGAACGGCTGACTGTGGCGTGCCCATATGCAACTGCTACATCTAAAACACAACCCCAATTTCAGAAAGCCAAAGGGCCAGGACATCTGCTACATACAACAAAGAGTTGTATGCATTAAACCTTAACAAAATCCTCAGTTAAACTTAAACAATAACAATACCATCCCAGCTGGCATGTCAACATACTCAGGAAAATCTCACAAGGTCCTACTACTAGATGAAGAGCTACAACAATTAATGACTAGTAAAAGAAGAAATCAGTCTTCTCCAAATATGAGCCACTGTTCAGTCCTTCACACCAGGTCAATAATAATAAGAGTGATAAATTTGGAAGAAAGTATCGGGACACATGAGAAGAGTTGGAGGAAGAAAGTGTTGATCAGAAATAATGTTAATGCAATACTCCTGAAATTCTGAAAGAACATTTAAAGTTAAAATAGCATTAAGATATAATAATTGCAAAACATATGTACCAAACATGTTCCATATGTCATAAAAACAAATTCTCATGGATATAAGAGCCTTGCCAGGTCCTGATATAATAATAATGGATTATTTTCATACCTCACTTTCATCTCGATAGGTCATCCAAACTGAAAAATCAACAAAGAAAACTCAGACTTAACTTACATCATAGATAAAAATGGATTCAACCTATATATGCAGAATATTTTATCCAACAGATGCAGAATATACATTTTTCTCAGCAGCCTTCGGAATCTCCACTTAGATAGGTAACACTATCAGCCACAAAGCAAGTCTTGATGAATATAGCATAACTAGAAGTTTTTGGGGTTTTGTTGTTGCTTGTTTGGTTTTTTTTTTTTTTTTTTCATTTTGTTTTGTTTTGTTTTGGATAGTATCAGATCACAATGCCATAAAAATATAAATCTATGTCCAGAGAAATTATTCCAAGTCAGAGACTAAACTGGACTTTTAGACAGCCAGTGGGTCTTCTAAGAAACTGAGGAGGGGTGAAAATTCTGAGATCAGTTGAAAATTACAGCATAACTGTACTGGTTACAATTGTGGTGATAGAACACCATGACCAAGGCAACTTATAAGAGTTTAATCTGGGACTTGCAGTTTCAGAGGCTTAGAGACCATGATGGCAGAACAAAGGCATGGTGACTCACAAACGAAGAGTTTGCATCTTGATCTGCAAGCAGAAGGTAGAGAGAAACACTGGGAATAGCATGAGTCTTTTTTAACCTCAAAGTCCAACCTCTCAGTGGCATACCTCCTCCCCCAAGGTCACATATCCTAATCCTTCACAAACACTTCACAAACACCTGGGGACCATGTACTCAAACGCATGAGTCAACCCGGGCCATTCTCATTAAAACAACCACAACAACTTTCCAGACTATTCATGACATATCTAAATCAGTTCTAAGGGGGATATTTATAGCTATGTTATTACAATAAAAATTTCAGAAAACTAAAATTAAAACAAAACAAACAAACAAACCAAAAACCCCACAGAGGTATGTCATATTGTTATCTCCTGGTGTACCTCAAGAAAAATAAGACAGGGCAAGTCCAAAGGTTGTAGATGGAAAGAAGTAATAAAGATCAAGGCAGAAGCTAATGGAATGGAGACTAAAAGAATGATTATGAAGCTCAACCAGAGTTAAACAAGATAGAAAAACTCACTAAAGTTTAAAAAAATGAAGATCAAAATTAATAAAATCAGAGAAGAAAGGGGGAATTATTACAACAAATGCAGAGGATTTCTGGGGAGTACTATGAAGCTTAAATTCCAGGAAAACTGGAAAATCTATTGCTTTTAACCACCAAAATTAAATTTAAAAAGATATAAGCAAAGTAAGCAATAAAAAGCCTCCTAACAATCAAATAAAAAAATTATGGATTTCTGTCAAATTCTACCAAATATCTAAGAAAAGCTTACACCCAAGCTTTTCGAAGTGTTTCAACAATAAAAACAAAGGCACATTACCAAACTTATTCTATACTGTCAGCATTTCTTGTACCCAAACTGGGACAAATATGCAACAGAAAAAAGAAAGGAAGGAAGAAGGAAGGAAGGAACCTATAGAGTAATTTCTTTCATGATCATAGATCAGAACTTCTAAGTAAAATCTTTGTAAACTGAATCAAGGAAACATGAAGACCCAATGCCATGATCAGGTTGCTTTCATTCCAGAGATGCAAGGCCAATTTCACACATCAAAATACATGTGTAGACAACACAAACATCACATAGCATCTCAACTGAGGTATAAAGGGATTTTAACAAAAGTTCAACATCTTAATAATAAAATCTCTAAGAAACTAAAAGAAAAGAAGCATATATTAATGTAATGAAGATTGTGTTTGATAAACTTATGTCCAACCTTACACTGAATGATAGAAATCTGAG